GGCTGTCCCATCATACCATCCACTCCATAAACTTATCAAACTGAGTCTTGAAGCCAGTTAGATTTTTTGCCCCCACTGCTCCCCTTAAAATCAACTACACATTCAAGTTGAAGAGAACAAATAAAGAGCATCAGCCTCCAGGCTATCTCCAGAAGGAATTTAACTACAACTGACTTTTGCATCACCAGCATCTCATGATAAAAGCCCATTGAAATAACTAGTATTATCAAGGATGCCTGAGAGAAGACTGTGTGTTTACCCTCTCCTTTGATCAAATTTGGGGCAAAGCACACGGTAAGCTCATTGCAGTAAGCCACTGTTGTCTGAGCCTTGGTGAAGGCAATCTAGTGAGCCTATGTAAAGCCAACGGAAAGTTTTCTGCCCACTATCTTCTTCTAGGTCTCTTCTAGAGCCCTAACCATCACTTTGCTCTTGTTTTACACCTGAAGCATTTTATTGAGGTAGATGAACATATACCCAAGTGATCAGTGACATGTTTTAATTCAGCTAGAGCAGGGTGGATTTGATTTAAATCACTAGTCAGGAAGGCTCGATTTAATCATGGATTTCTACATAAAAGTGCGTTCTTGTTGGCTGTTAACCTTAATACATATTCTTCACAACTCAGAGATAGATGTAGGTTTCATTTTTATAAGGTACACACTACACATTTTTAAAGTGATTTATTTTGAAGACTTTTCAGATTAGTTTTACAGCTATATCAGAAAATGAATGATTGTTTGGTTATTTCATTTATCAAAGGTGATTGAAACAGATATTTATGAAGTCATTGGGAGGTGAACTATCTCCAGTTCAACAGGTTAGTCACTAATATTTGGAGGGTTTTCTTGCCATGCTGTATTAGGAGGAAATCACCACCAGACAGACATTTAAATTGTTTTAACAACAACATTCTGTATTCTGGATTTTTTTCTTCAACTGCAAATATATAATATTTTAACAAAACAAACATACGAATTTTTGAATTTAGTTCTTTTAAATCAGGTTTGTTTTTGTTAAAATTGTTTTGAACTAAAATAGTTAAATATTTATTAAAAAAATTAAATCGACTATGTCAGCCAGGTCAACATGAGAAACTTAAAATATTGGCTTCTGCAGCTAACTCAGTCATCTTCACCTTCATTTTCCTGTTTGTTCATAATCTGCAAAAGAAAAAACAAGCTTTCCTACTTTTTCAGGTCCCAAACGATTTCTCAATTTGGAATGAATTAGTCCAAAGGAAGAAAATATTCTTTCTACACCAGCAGAAGAAGCCACTGCTGTTAAAAGTGAGATTATCACTTCAACGGTCTCTGAATCCAAGTGCTTAAGTGACTTCCACCAGTTCACTGGTGTGACTTTCTTTAAATCATCATCATCAAACATATATTTCTTGAATGGTTCACCCTTAGCTCTGAAGTTTATTATAGCTGGCATTATGGAGGGATGATTGCTGGATGTCCATGTCATAGCCACCTCCTCTTCTTCAGCCGTTAAGGTTTGACCCTGGTACCGAGTATTGAGAATATTTGCAAGAAAGTGAGCTGGAGATAGTGCTTGTCCCATTCTTTTTTTTAATGCTTGTAATTTAACTCTGTCATTGCATATTTCTCTTTTTAAGATCTCACTCAGTTCCTTCCAAATTTCAACAGCATCAGCAATAAAACAGCTATTTCCCTGCATTTTGTTCAAAACTACAGAAATAGGCTTCAGCATACTCAGCATGTCTTCAACATTTCTTTTAAGCCCAATGTTGAGAACTTTGGCTGTAAAATGCCATCTATTTTTTCACTATTTTGTTCACAAACTGTCATCAGATTAGGCCAGTTCTTGATATAGTGCTCAAAACAGTCCACTACTGAGTTCCACCGCACGTCTTGTGGGAGAGTTAGCTTGGTTCCTCCCGCTTTTTTCAGAGCAGCTACTGCAAAGTGGTTGTTACGGAAGTATTCTGCAATTTCAAAAACATTAGCCTTTCTTTCTGGAACACTGAAGTCTTTGGCTAGGAGGTGCATCAAATGAGCACTGCAACCGTATGTTATTAGCTTCGGAATCTCTTCACTCTCTTCTAAATTTCTTCTCATCTTGGATACATTGGCAACATTGTCTGTGACCAAGCTGCATACTAGACATTTGAATTTTTTTTCAGTTTATTATAGATTTTACTGCTACTTCTTGTAAGTTTTCTGCTGTTTGTGCATTTCCTGATGTATCAATTGTTTCTGTAAGGAAGACATTCCCTTCTTCTGTTGTCACACAAGCACATACAACAGGATCATTGTGGACATTGCTCCACCCATCAAGACTCAGGTTAACAATTTCACCCTCTAGTCCTGTTGCACACTGCTCAATTTCTCTTTCATACACTTTATCCAGCAATTTGCCTGTGACATCTGCTCTGTTGGGTGGACTGTATCTTGGTCTTAATGACTGCACCATGTTAATGAAGTGTGGGTTCTCAATCATACGGAAAGGAGAGTTTGTTGCATAAACAAACCGGGCAATTTTTTCATCAATTAGCTCTTTTTGTAATCTGCTGGTTTTTATCACAAATTTATCTATGGTTGTTTCTGGACGATGGAGGTTTTTTCTTCTTTTTTACTACAGGTGATATACTGCAGCTATGTGACATACATGATGGAACTGAAACAATATCATTGGCAGATAACTGAAACTATAGAAAATGATGGTGATCTTGAAGGTGGATAGTCTTCAGAATCCTGTATGTTGAGGGTGGATTCTCCTAAACAAAATAAGTCAATGCAGTTATTTATTATTCCCATACTGATCACTTAATATTACTCATTGCATCCACTGACACCAAGCACTACTTTAAAGGTGAAATTGTAAAAGGAAGATCTGCCTATTTCAACTATTTATTTTTTATCACAACTGCATCTAAAATGATAGTACCTTCTCAACTAACAACTATATTTTTTTGCTCTAACATGAGAATTCAAGAATAGCCCAGAAGGAAGACAGGCAGCCCTTTAGAAAGGAGTATGAAATAAAAAAGTTTACCAACCTGAAGATCCTGAATGTTCAGACATGTTCCTTTCATCATCTTCAGCACAGCCTCCTCCTGAGAAGGAACACTTCTCATGATGTTGTTTCATTCAGCCAACCAGGCTTTGCATTTGTTTGTTGCACTGTTTGCATTTTGCACATATGCCTGTCTTACCCACAGGTAGAGGAACGTCATTAAAATAGTCCCAAACTGTGTCTCCTTTACGGCCTGCTGCCATTATAGGTTTTCCCTTCTAGTGAGAGAATGGTAGAGCAATAGAATTAGCAACTGCCCAGCACTTTACAACACTAGAGCAGATATGGTAGATAGCTAGAAAGAAAACAAGTTCCCCTTAACCAGGGCTGCAGCACTTTTCGAGCATGCACCAGCTGCAGAGACCATTATCTAGCAATTCCCGACACATCCTCCCTCCTAGGAGCACTAGATCTGGGACTCCCCAGTAGCAGTGCTGAGAATTCCCCTGGCTCACTCCGACAGCCCCTACCTTCTTGAAGAGCAGTCTCCAGTATTCCTCCCAGTTGCGGTCCCGGCTCAGTGCGTCTGACTCCTCATCTACAATCCCCTGCTCGTCGTACAGCGCCCGCTGGTCCTGGTCGCTCAGTACCGCGTACACCTTGCCTAGGAGCTGAGGAAACAACCGTCACCCTCCGCAACGAGTCGCTCCAAGCAGCGGCGCGCTCCCCTTCTCGCGGCTCAGTCTCCCCCTCCCACTCGGCCGCCAACAGAAGCAGCCTTTGCTGCGGGGGATTCAGGACGCCGCTCACAAGCCGCTGCGACCCTGCGGCGCCCCAGGCGCTGCGCCCGCCGAGCTCCGGCTGCGCCGCAGCTCACCTGGAAGCGCCGGGTCGCCTCCTCCTTGCGGTCCGGGGCCGCGCGGTCCGGATGGACCCGCAGCGAGACCCTGTGGTAGCCGCGGCGGATCTCGTCCCCCGCGGCCTCCCGTCTGACGCCCAGCACTTGATAGAGGTCGGCGGCGCCGAACGCCGCCTCGCACTGCTCCAGCAGCCCCATCCCGCCGCTGGCGCCTCCTTCGCGCCGCGCGACTAGCTTCGGCGTTTCGCGGGCCGAGTTTAGCGCGCGCGCGCCACGTCTGCGACCCGCGCTGCTTTACGGCCAGGCCTGGAACTGCCGCAAAGACGCGCAGTTGAGGCAGGCAGAGCAACTAAATCCCGCAGCCTTTAGCTGTTGCGGCTACGGCCCCGTCCGCAGGAGGTTTCGCGTTGGAACGGCGGGCGGGCCGCTCGCAGGGACTGGCCGTCCCTGGGATTTCCCCGCAGGAAGCGGGACTGGCCGCTGCCCACGTGTCCCTGCCCTGTGCCTCCTCCCAAGACTCAGCGAGGCGTTGCGGGCCGCAGCACCGGGCCGGTGTGATCCTACATTGGGGCCGCGCTTCCGCTGCCTGACGAACTTTTGTCTCGCGGCTGTTACTGAGCATGCTCGGTCCCATCTGCGGAAGCCAGGCCTCAGACCTAATGACAGCGTCTTCCGCGCTGCTCTGGGGCCGGGGGCTAAAGGGAGAGGAGCGATGCGCAGACGCTGTCCAGGGGGAAAGTGATTGCGCACTGGGAGTTAAACAGCTGGAGGCAGGAGCGTAAGCACAGGGTGGGCACTATAGGCTCACAACACCGCGATAAATTGACAACCCCAAGAATTAAAAAAATCTTGAGTTGTGGACCACGTTGGGAAATAAAAGAGAAAATAGTTTGTGTTTTTAATTTGCGTTTTTGTTTCTAAAAGGTAACTTCTCTAGAGGCCTGGAGTGTTGCTGCTGACTTCAGCAAGGGGAGGAGAAAGCTCCAAGAGACACCAATCAGTACTTGGCAAAACCCACATTTATCAGAAAGCACTGTTTTGTAACAGCTGATAACTTTTAAAAAGTGTATATTGCTTCCCTTGGAAACTGCCCCAAAACTGAATGACAAAATGGTGTTTTGCAGATTTTTGAAGTAATGGCATAAAACTCAAGGGAAAATACTTTGTACAAAACTCACTGATTTTTTATTCTATGCAACTTAAATGTATGCATAGATGTGTGATACATAGGAAGTGGTACACAGATGAATATGGAAGTAATAAAACTAAATGTGTACATAATTCTGAAGTTTACATTTTTGAGAGAAGAACTGAAATTACCAAAAATACACACCTAGACATTTATTTCCAGCTAATGCATGCGCTGTTAACATTAGGGAGGGAACAGAACATACCTCTGTTGTAAATTCAAGCTTCACCTTCTAATTAGTTACAACATCTAGAAGGTAATATTGTAGATTATGGTTGCTTTCATTAAAATATTGTATAAGTTACAAAAACTAACACTTGTCTGCATTATTGTGGGCTCAAGAATGCTCTTCCCCATCACGATCAGTCAGTATGAAAAGTATTCACAGCTTGATTAATGTTGATTGTGTTTATACAGACTATGTTACACCTGCAGAAATAATTTCTCTGGATAATTCTGAGAGAGATTCAAATCCCTCTTACCCAATTTTTTCTTAAATATATCTTATATAAACAATCATTTTTTCCCCAAAAATTCAATGCACTTAGCACTAGCACTAACACTTACAAGCAGAATAAAGTCATGGCAATCAAGGAATTAAATATAAAACATTTACCAGCTTTATTCTTCAGAACTTGTTGTTTTTAATTTTGCCTTAACTTCGGGCGATGACTCTTTAGTTCTTTGAATCTTTATAGTTTTAACTCTCTTTTTTGAAATAACCTTTTTTACGGTTTTCTTCTCTGTTGTAACTCTTGACTTTTTGAGTCTTCTGTTTTTGTAACGTATCAGATCTTCACGTCCAACATCAACCATTTGCTCCTCCCATGACTTCATTTCATTTTCATACCGAACCTTGTCATCTTCAGCAAGCTGTAGATATGTCTGAGAAATGATTTAAAATGTTTCAATATTTCTTTAAGTAAAATTCTGGCTGTTACTGGAAATGGAAATTCTGCCAAATCCCATGGCATTTTCCCCTTCCCAATGCTCCACAAGAATTTGAAGCATCTGTTTCTTAGAATCAAATTCACTCACAAATGAAAACAATAATAAGTTGCTGCATAGTAAGTTATTTATCTCTTTAAACAACATAAGAAAGTCTATTTCAAATTCCTCAGTAACCTCTACCTTCACTTTCCTAAGAGCTGTCATTTCTTCTGCTTCTTGAGACCTTCAGGCTCCCTACACCTTCAATTTTCCCTCCATCCTAGGGTCTTATGTTGAGGTAGAATATTCAGGCAATTGCATATTTAAAATTTGCAAATTTACTCTTCTGGAATGTTTTAAGCAATTTCAGCTAAACCAGATAAAGCATTAGCTGTATGCTCTAATAAACTCATGAGCAGTGAAACCATGTTGAGATTTCAGACTTAATACTTCAATGAAGAAACTGCCTTTTCAATTTTAAATGTTAGAAAAACTGTTTGTATGGCCTGATGCTTTACCCAGACAGACAAGTCCCCATCTTGAGCTTACAATATAATATACTCTGTTTGCATGAAGTCTTCTTATGAGAGTACATGAGAAGCGTTTTACCTTTTTGCACAGACACATTAGACCTCCAGATAAAATCTTTAACTCTCCCTTTTCCCCATTGCTAAGTAAATATTAGCTAAGAAATACTATGTTTAGGGGCAGTTAAGGTTACAACAGGACAAATTCCATCCATCCAGAACTTGAGAAGAATGGAAATAAAAAGTTAAGTAGAAAGACTTGTGCATTTCTCTCCATTCAACTATTGATTTGATAATGTACTCCAATACTCCATAAGGCTTTTGTTTCCAACAAAAACCAAAAAGCAATACATGACCTCAACTTCAAATTTGCACTTTAACACAAAACCTTAACAATAAGATCATATTCTTTTATATCAGTTATGCCAACAGATCAGCACATCTGACTGTCACATTCCATGCATTTGGGAAATGATTCTGCCTTACCATTTCTGAGGTCATTAAGGTTTTGCATTGGAGTACAAGTTTGATGAAGCTGGGGTACATAAGGATTACAGCTGGAAAGAGAAACCAAACAGATATTTCTGCACAACCAATTTCAAACTCAATTCTCTCTCTAGAAAGGAGTATGAAATATAAATAGCTGTGTGCTCCACTTACACATTCAAACAAACATTATTTGGACAGAGGAAATTCAGGACAAGGAATGCCAGGTTTAAAAGAAAGTCAAGATTAAGAAAGGCCAATTGGGTTTTTATTAGGGCTGTCAAGCGATTAAAAAAATTAATCACACTATTAAACAATAATAGAATACTATTTATTTATATATTTTTGGATGTTTTCTACATTTTCAAATATATTGATTTCAATTCCAAAACAGAATATAAAGAGTAAGGTGCCCGCTTTATATTTATTTTTGATTACAAGTATTTGCACTGTAAAAAAACAAAAGAAATAGTATTTTTCAAATCACCTAATACAAGTACTGTAATGCAATCGCTTTATCATGAAAGTTGAATTTACAAACATAGAATTAGGTAAAAAACCTGCATTCAAAAATGAAACAAAGTCCATTCAGTCCTACTTTTTGTTCAGCCAATTGCTCAGACAAACAAGTTAGTTTACATTTGCAGGAGATGATGCTGCCCGCTTCTTGTTTACCATATCACCTGAAAGTGAGAACAGACCATTCGCATAGCATTTTTGTAACTGGCATTGCAAGATATTTACCTGCCAGATGCACTAAAGATTTATATGTCCCTTCATGCTTCAGCCACCATTCTTGGGGACGTGTCCACGCTGATGATGGGTTCTGCTCAATAACAATCCAAAACAGTATGGACTGACGCATATTCATTTTCATTATTTGAGTCAGATGCCACCAGCAGAAGATTGATTTTCTTTTTTGGTGGTTCAGGTTCTGTAGTTTCTGCACTGAAGTGTTGCTCTTTTAAGACTTCTGAAAGCATGCTCCACATCCTGTCTCTCTCAGATTTTGGAAGGCACTTCAGATTCTTAAACCTTGGGTTGAGTGCCATAGCTCTTTTTAGAAATCTCTCACTGGTACCTTCTTTGTGTTTTGTGAAATCTGGAGTGAAAGTGTTCTTAAAATGAGCAACATGTCCTGGGTCATCATCTGAGACTGCTATAACATGAAATATATGTCAGAATGCGGGTAAAACAAAGCAAGGGACATAGAATTCTCCCCAAAGGAATTCAGTCACAATTAAAGCATTTTTTTGTTTTGTTTTGTTTTTTTAAAACGAGCATCATCATCATGGAAGCATGTCCTCTGGAATGTTGACTGAAGCATAAAGAGGCATATTAATATTTTGGCATATCTGGCATGTAAATACGTTGCAATACCGGCTACAAAAGTGCCATGTGAATGGCCTGTTCTCACTTTCTGGTGACACTGTAAATAAGAAGAGGGCAGCATTATCTCCTGTAAATGTAAACAAACTTGTTTGTCTGAGCAATTGGCTGAACAAGAAGTAGGAATGGGTGGACTTGTAGGCTCTGAAGTTTGACATTGTTTTATTATTGAGTGCAAATACGTAACAAAAAAAAATCTAAATTTGTAAGTAGCACTTCCACAACAGAGATTGCACTACACTATTTGTATGAGGTGAACTGAAAAATACTTTATCATTTTCACAGTGCAAATATTTGTAATAAAAAATATACACTTCGATTTCAACTACAACACAGAATACAATATATGTTAAAATGCAGAAAAACAAAAAATTTAATAAATGTCAACTGGTATTCTATTGTTTAACAGTGCAATTAAAACTGATCACAATTAATTTTTTAATTGTGATTAATTTTTTTTAGTTAATCACGTGAGTTAACTGATTAATCAACAGCCCTAGTTTTTATACTGTTTTAATGTGGAATGCTTCAAATATTCTTAAACACAGATCTGGAGCATCATACCTCAGTGCACCGTTAAAGACAGCAAAAAAAAGACACATGAAGTAAGATTTTTCCCAGGCACATAACAGTGTTATTTTAAAATTTCTATTAAACACAGCAAAAGGACTCATTCCCCATAAGAACCAAATCCATTACTAGTTTGAAGTTTTTTTAAAAGATCTCATTTCATTTATGGAAGCAAGAAGTTAATTTGAAAAAAATTTAACTGATTAAGCTTTTTCCTTCCATACTCAGGAATCAATATTCCTCCCCAATGGCACCCACCCATTCCACTGCTTAATGAAAGGTTATCAGTATTTTTTAAAAAGTGGTCACTGTTGTGTTAAGAATCAATATGAGACATTTCAGCTTGAAGTGTAATTGGTTTCAAGAATTTATAAAATAAATGAAAATAAAATCCTTTAGTTAAAGTGCATTTTTTACTATAATAAAAGGTTGGTGTAACTAGAATTTACAAGAGTGTCCCGGAGTCAGAATGACTAAACTGTCCTTCTGTAGTTGGACAACACTTAGCTGGACTGGAGCGTCACAAAAAGCTAGACACATACCTGCTTTTGAGAACTGGATAGATCTTGCCATTCTTCAAATAAATTCTTCATCTTTGCCTACAAAATACAAACTCTCTTAAACGCATGTAAAAAGGTTGGATCATGAGATTCTCAAGGGTATAGACTAAAAGGGACTAAAGTCCTCCTAAAGCAAAATTAGTTGACAGCTAAATACCTTTGATTCCAGTAAAAACCACCATTCTTCCTGCTCTTAAAATGGAAAGTTGTGCACTGCTTGAGATGGAACAGTATGTGCCAGTACAGAATACCAGCACACACTGTAGTTCATGAATAAGCATCAACACAAAAATGACCAAAATCTCTGAAGTGCTATCTGCACTTTACAAATTAGACACCTTGATAATTTCACTCTGTTTGTAAATATTATTTGAACTTTACAAATACTGTCAAAGTCTTCATGAAACAGGTAAACTGGGACTAGTAATTTTGACCTTTTTACAGATAGAGAAATAGAGGTGAATTGACTTGCTCATGGGCACCCAGAACGTCACAGAAAGGGGACTAGAGCCAGGGGGAGCAAACGTGGGAAGAAAGACAGAAGGGGTAAATATGAGGAAGCTAACTAGGAATACAATTGGTTATGGGGGAAAGTAAGGATAGAAGATGAAGGTGTTTGCTGAATTGGAAGATAGGTAGATGTTAGAAAACAGATGGAAAATTGAGGGTACAAGGAAGGTAAGCAGAGAGCAAGAAGAGGAGACTAAACAAGGTGGAATGAAGACACCACTCATAAGTGATAGTCTGACTTTTTGGGAGGTGGATACTTCCCCATCGCTAAAAGTCTGCTCCAATACAAAAGTGAAACAAAAACCAATTAACTAAGAAGTTCAAGCATGAATGAGCAGACTTATGGGTAGTCTGCCAAGGGGATCATCTATATATTTCTGTTGTTGTCCATCTAGTTAGTTTTTAAGTGAGGTGAAACTTGGGGGTACGCAAAACAAATCAGACTCCTGAAAGGGATACAGTAGTCTGGAAAGATTGAGAGCCACTGACCTATACCTTCATGAGACATACAGTTTACATTTACTATTCCTGATCATCTTAGTTCTAGGGAATAAGCTGGTTGATTATATGAATGGACCACCTCAAAGAGAAATGCCTTGCATCACTTGCTGACCCCTCCCTCCATATAATCAAATGTAATTGCAGGATATCAAAGAGTTCCTTCCACTCTGCTGGGAAATTAGTGGCCTTGATATTAAGCATGGTTAAACAGTTTTCTATCCAGTCAGATCAACTTTAATCATGATCTGAATCTATTTTAATTAGGTGTGCATTTGTAGACCCTGCTGGTGTGCTTTCAGGTAGTGCTGTTTGAAACAGTACTATGTTAAAGTGTACTAGGGAACCTTTATGGCACACTAGCAGGGTCTACATAGACCAATCAACACATTAGCATGCTTTAGAAATCGCACACAGTAGAACGCATTATCCCACTGTATAGACAAGTGCTGATTTGGTTAAACTGGAGCACCCTTCTGTATGGCTTATTTATAGTTTAAATCAATTTGGAATAGGCTGAAGCTAATCCAAAATAAGCCACACTTAAACCAAAGTCATCATGTCCACACAAGGGTTTTTACTGATTTACTCCAATCCGTTTAAATTCACACCTGAATTTAAATTGGTGCAAATTTCTTGTGCAGACAAGGTCTTCATTAAAGTGATGCAACCTTGTGTTTAGACCTAAGAAAGAGGCAGGGAAAGATGGAATTATCCAGTTACTGAATAAGAGGGAGTAAGGACATGGCTACACTGGAAACTTCAAAATGCTGTCGCGGGAACACTCCCGCAGCAGCACTTTGAAGAAGCTCTCTCAGCACATCCACCTCCACGAGGGGATTAGCTTGGAGCCTGTCTACACTAGTGCTTTAAAGCGCTCAGACTTGCTGTGCTCAGGGGGGTGATTTTTCACACCCATGAGCCAGCAAGTTAGAGTGCTATAAAATGTAAGTGTAGACAAGCCCTAAGTCTTCAGAGTGTATACAGTACTGCAAGACTTTCTGATGTATTAAGTCTATGCATCCATTGAGTGGCTCAGTTTGGATAGCAAGCAATTAACAGCAAGTGTTCAACCATGCCCTAAAAATTCCAACTTCTGCCTAGCAAAGGAAGATCCAGAAATACTGAACTATTTGAATTGTTACCTATAAGAGAAGCTAGAACACATTTTCTGAATGTAACAAATTTTGGAAGATGGTCATTTTAACAATGAAGAAATCTAAAATTAACCAATTTTGTCTTGTTTACCTGAACTGAAACTCCCTTAGCTTCTTGGAAGTGTTCAGACATAAAAATGTTAAAGCCAGTACGAGGTCTTTTAGGCTTTCCAAGCACTGTTAATTCCTAAAAAATTGTAAGAAGGTAGAAGTTATTTTTCTGTGAATGAGTGAACCCATTGAATATATTTGTTTCAATTCATTTTAGCAAAGCTGATTATATCATTAGCTTTTTATTGGCCATTTTACACTTACTAAAAAAAAAAAAGAAGCATTTTACAAAAAGATCAATTTCTTATGCAAAATTGCATTGCACTGGGGACAAGAGAGCGTTAAGGTTTACCCTAACACCAAACTAGTCTTCATTTGTGAACCACTCATACTTTAACCCAGATTGAGACAATAAGATAGATTTGAGCCCACTGGAGGAAGGGATCATGACTAGCTACATGAACCAAAGTGTGGAGGGCTGCACTAAACATCTCAGTTTCTTCTGAGGGTCATTTTTATTTGGCTATCAGTGGACTCCTTGAACAAAAATGAGTGGTTAATTTATTAGTAAGGCTGCCACATTTCTCTTCAGCAGGTTAACAATTTGCCTTTGATATTAAACAGCATACAATTTCTGGTCTTGCCTGGGAACCTCTATTTGTTGGATTGCTCCAGTTGTGATTTTATGATATTTTCAAGCATTGATTAGAGGAAGATAGACAGCTCTTTCTTTAGGACAATGGAGAAGTTGTTTGGTAGTTTCACCTTACTCCTGATCAGGATTTTCCTGCACTCATTGGACAGGCTCTGGACTCATACTGAGAGGTGACTACATTGCAAAGCATTACACCAAAACAGTCTGCTTTAAAGAGCTTTTCCTGTTTCTTCCATTACCTGTAGTTTTAAATCCAAAAGTGCCCCTTCTTCAGGGGAAGATGAAGGTGACACATGGCACCCCGTATTCTTCATAGTAATATTATTATATTATATGATTATAGCATAATTATGATGTATTTTATGCAAGATAAGTCATGTGAGGTGTCATTGGAAAAGTTAGGATTTGCTGAATAGGATTATCCTATTTGTAGGCATGTATCATTTTTGTATCTGAAGTTATGAATATTGACCGTGTATCTGTATTTCAAATGTAGCTACACCTGGGTGATGCCCACTAGACAAGATGCTTTCAGTCTAGATAGGTCATTGGGAAGGGCATATTCAGGGCAATGAGCCATTAGGGAAAAAAAATAGGCCTTCAGAGAAGCTTATCTCCCACCTGGTGAGCCTTCCTGAGAACACTCCTAACAGCCTGTAAGTAATGGCTGCTATGACTCTACAAGGACATGTGACCAGGTCACAGGATTCTGGATTCCATCTTGGGATGTCAGTATTTTTCCACAAACTGGTCTGGGAACCAAGTTTTGAAACGAAGGGTTCCCGCCATATGCTAAAGCTATACATGGCAGGGAGTAACATCATCTGTGGTTCTTCACTCCCCACACAAGAAGACTCCTGGAAACACCTGAGGATCAAAGACTGAACTGGGAGAAGTGCTAGACTAAAGGGATTTCTAGCCTGTGTATGAAACAGCTGGGGATTCCAAGCTGTAAACCAAGTGCATCTTGCCCCTTAAGAATCTGCAGCCTGCTTGTATCATCTCTTAGGGTGAGAATCTGCTAATTCATAACCTATCTAGTATATAAAGCTTTGTGTGCGTTTTTTGTTTATTTGCTAGGCAATCTGCTTTGATCTGTTTGCTATCCCTTATAATCACTTAAAAATTTAATAACCTAATAAATCTAAACCATTTGTAGTTAATAAAAACTTGTTTTTATTTTAATCTAAACCAGTGAGCTTTCACTGGAGTGCTTAGGGAATATCTCTACTTATGGTAACCAAGCATGCACTGTTCTCTTCATATTGAGGGAGAGGCAGATCAGATATTAAACCCATATACTGGCCAGAATTGACCAGGGCAGGATGGTACTGCTCTGGGGTCCCAGGCTGGGAAGCTGATGGTTAGAGAGCCTGTGTGTAACTGCAGCTGGGTGTGTCCCTTACCTGTATAAATGCTGGTGAAAGTGTAGGCTGGAGGGCTATGCAGCTTGTCACAGCAGTGCAGTGAGAGAGGGAGCCCAGACTGGTGGGTTTGGGGGCTCAGTGGTACTCAAGTTCCAGGTGGCACCCCAGGGTGAACCCATCACAGAAGGAGTGGAAGGAGAATATTTACATTTCTTAATTCTGGATTTCTTATTCTGATACAAAGGACACGTGAAGTGCCAAGCTTACTACCCCTATCTAGTATAGGTGTTGGTGGCTACAATGGTTTTGGGGAGGCTTAATCAACTGGATGACATCCTGGAGCTGCCAAATTCAGGGGCTGGTGGACTGAATGTTCATGGAAAGCTATTTCCAGGACACCTCCGGTGTTGCTGATTCCTCCTGACAGGCCTCCTCCAGGACACCGTCCATATGAGAAATAACTGGAGCAGAGCACTTGCTACCTAGTCACTGTTACTTGTTCTTTTTGCTGGAATTATCTGCCATCTTTACCCTTGGCAGAGGGGAGACTGTTCCAGGCGGTGGCAAATCAGGATTAATACGTGGCTTCGCAGCATCTGCAACCAAATATTGCAGGACTGTGCTGATTCTCATGCACCAGAAGGTGAAACTGGCTGGTCTACTTTCATGGTCTTAGTTAAGTGAAATGGAAAAAAGTATAACATAGTGAGAAGCAAATTAAATAAAGTAATCAATTAATAAACCCAACTATTATGGGAAACATCAGTAATGATTTAAGTACGATTTTTAACCTGACAGCATTCCTTTAAAACATTATTTCTAGCCTTGCATTGTAATCATGGTCCATGTCTAATAACCATTTGAAACAACCAGATTAATACATTTAAGTTACCTTAAAAGTGAAAATGAAATCACATTTTGAGTACTTACCCTCTTTTTCCTCATTGCTTTTCTTTTTGCCCGTTTTTGTCTCCTTTCTTCTTTCAAAGCTACTATCTGGGCTGGACTTAACTGTGCTTTGTATATGGCCAGCTCTTCTTTGTATGCTTGCCTCTCTACCTTTGCAGCTGCTTCATATGTCTATAAGCACAAAAACCATGAAAACAACCAAAGAAAGCAAACATAACTGACAATTTCAGCTAAACATTCTACTTTTAAAACAGTGACTCTCAACCTCTCCAGACAACTGTACCCCTTTCAGGAGTCCTATTTGTTTTGCGTATCCCCAAATTTCACCTCACTTAAAAACTACTTGCTTACAAAATCAGACATAAAAATACAAGTGACCCAGCATACTATTATTGAAAAATTGCTTACTGTCTCATTTTTACCATATAATTATAAAATTAATCAACTGGAATATAAATACTGTACTTACATTTCAGTGTATAGAGCAGTATAAACAAGTCATTGTCTATGAAATTTTAGTTTGTACTGACTTCATTAATGCTTTTTATGTAGTCTGTCATACAAAAACACAAATATCTAGATGAACTTATATATCCCCTGGAAGACCTCTGCATACCCCCAAGAATATGAGTACCCCTGGTTGAGAACCACTGCTTTAAAACATTCTAAAGATCAAACATCCTTCCAAACCATGCAGGCTATAGCAGGATACAGCTGTTGGCCTGCCATGCAGTAAACAGAATCATCAGGCTTCACAGAGTCCCTAGAAATAATCAGTGCAGCAGAGATGCACATCATCTCTAGCAAAGAAGAGTTCTTGTAACATGAGCCCTCACCTCCCATGTGTAACAGCCCCATATCTTTGTCCTGCCCCTCCTTTTCCAGGGGGGACATAATCCATGGGAGTTAGTCTTCAGGATGAAGTAACCTCATGATCTACACAAGAGTAATTCGATATAACTAATCTTTAGACCCTCTGCCATGCATGTATCCTATGCATTCACAGCAACTGTATCAATGGTACATACCATTTACACCATCATTTGGATTGAAAATCTAACTAATGTGTTAACTATCATTATGTCATATTCCATTACTTAAGTGCTAATGCAGCAACTACACCAGTGATGGGCCTCCTAATATCTCTGAATGCTCCTGACTGGCCTTCAGAGACAGGTATAACAACTCAGAGCACACTAGCTCTGTCACTTGTCAAGCTGGCTGCATGCAAGCTCAAGAACAGCTGAGGAGTTACTCTCCTGATTTCCCCTAAATACCATCCTATTCCCTCCTCTCACATCCCAATTTCAGTATCAAAAGGATACCAAAGTAATGAAAAATTAAAGATTTCACTGAAGTTGTTTGTGAGGATTTCAGTAGTGTGCGCAGCAATACAATCTTCCCGCTAATAATGACCACTTCCCCATTCTCCTGGAGAGGGTGAGAAATTTAACTAGCAGCATCCCCCAGAAGTACATACTTTCAATCAACCTTCAAGCCTGGCGCAGTCGTGTGAGCAATCTATTTTAGGCCAGTTCGTGTTCTGACATTATAGCTTCTCATGGCACAAATACAAACAAATTAGATGTTTGGTAAGTGATGTAACAACTATTACAGCAGCAGCATCTGGAAAAGTCAAGTGCATCTATTCACCATCAAGATGGTAACAGCCTAGCACACTGTGCTTTTGAGCTCCACAGGGGCAGGACAAGGAGGTGGAGAAACCCCAGTAGTAAAGATGTAGGTTAAACTGCCCATGACCACAAGGTATCCTATTGTAACAAAGAAGGATCATATGGTTGTTCTGAGGGCCACAGAGGAGCTGATCAGGAGAGACTAGAGGATGTAGATCTGAGTTGACTACCTGACAAGAAAAGCATCGATCCAAAATATAGTCCTACATCATCTGTTGCTCCTGTTCCTTAGAAAGGTTGTGTCTAATGTATTGCCTAAGAGGCAAACTATTTCAGAAAAGAGGCAGCTTGACTTTAGCTGGCTTTCTTATGTGGTTTTGAGACAAAATTGTGAAGTAAGCTGTCTTGACAGTCAATGTGGCCAGGGCCCTGCCTTCACGCCTAATTGTTGGAAGAGCAATGCCAGCCAGGACTGGGAAGTTGGAGGCTGGAGCTGTCAGGGTCACACCGGTGATGATTTGAAGAGCAAAGCTGATCGTTGAGACCAGTGTGACATACTGATGACTGGAGCCCCATGCTGCCGCACAGTATTTGGCAGGTGCAATAATTAGCACCTTGTGAGCACTAGCGCCCTATGAGCTGCTAGCAAGCCTGTGGAGGAGTGCAAATTTCAACTGAATTTTAGTGTGTCTTCTCAATGTTGTCAAAAGGACACAGAGAACAGTTTAGCTGTAACCCCAAATAAGTAGGGTATGGTAAAAAAAAAAAAATCAGCTGATTGTTCAGAAAGGCCTGCGGCTATTGATGAGATAACCAGTAGGCAAGATGGAAATGAGATGACGCTGTCTTTATTGTGTTTAGTTTAAGTCACCACTTTGAAAAATACCTGACCAGATGTCAAGGTCAGATGACAGGCAGGACTCCAGTTCCTCAGAGCTCCTTTCTGGCTACTGCCAAGCAGATGTCATCAGCATATGTGAACTTGGTTGCCGAGGTGGGCGGCTGATCAGCTGTATATACACTAAGAACATCAGCACAAGTACAGATTTCTGGGGAAGTCTTGTTTATACAATATGGGCCAGTCGATGAAAGGCAAAGCCAACCTATGGGACAAGTGTTTCAAGCCCACATATCTCAACTGAAGCTCTTTAGATTCCTGGAATGATTTCAACAGGGAAAAAAAAAATCAGCCATTTGGACAGCTTTTGTAAAACCTAGGGGAAGGTTAAATCTTCCCCTGTGAGTTGCTGTCATAGCATTCTTCTGTAGTAGGGAATTATTTGGCATCAAGTACTTCAACCTTCCAAGGGCAAATAGCAGCCCTCGTGCAAGACGCAAAGGCCGCTAGAGCCTCTGTGCTGAGAGCTCTGACATTAGAGGTCTGAGTTAGGACACATTAACCTCTGCGCAAAAGCTCTCCAACCATCACAAGAGTTCCTATATCTGCTGCTGCACAGCAAAGGGAACGCCTTGAAGTCAAGATTGCGGGCTTTGAGAAGGACCAAGAATGATTGACCCAGATTAACAAGGACATCACCATCTCCTTTCCACTTCAAGCACATGAGAGTAAAGCAAAAATCTAAACAGGTCTTGACAGAGACCTTCATGGAGCCAGGGTTTCAAAAGAGGTATATCAAGAGGTTATTGGCCCTCTCCTGGCACCTCCAGGCTCAGCCTCTCATAAAGATGCTCTGCCTTATCCAATGAGCAGAAGCTCGTTACAAAAGTGGAGTACAGAGGTCCAAGAGCACTGAGAAGCTCATGCTCAGTGAAGTCATTGGTTTTGCTTGTGGTGGCATAGAGTGCTTTGGTGGTGAAGCTGCCCTGGTGGGCTTACTGGGGTGGAAGGAAGTTTGCAATTTGCTGAGAGAAGGACAGAACCAAAGAAAATAAACACCACACTGCAAAACAGGTGCATTTGGTGCAGGAATAACAAGGCAGCCTTAACTGTGGCACTGAAACACGAACTCAAGCACTCATGCTCTTAGAACAGCGTTTCTCAAATACAGCCACCAGAGGCTTTTCTTGTGGCCAGTCTCCAGGGCTGTGATGGTAGGGGAGAGAGTGGCAAAGTAGCTGTCCCTCCTTGTTTCTCTTGGATGCACTGCCTTGGTGTTGGTTGCAGGGCTGCCAGCAGGGGTTGGCCACTGCTGCCCTCCAGAGACACCTGGGGCATAACGCTGGGGGAGCAGGCAGACAGTGAGTTCCCCACCTTCCCCGGGGCAGTGGGGCTCAGACTTTGGGCTTCAGCTCTGGGGAGGCAAGGCAGCAGGCTCTGGCAACGGGGCTTCGGGCTCCACCCCAGAGCTCCAGCTGTGTGGCAGCAGGCCCCAGGTTCCAGTTGCACAGATTCAGGCTCCATCCCCCGTCCCTGGGGCTTTGGGATCTGGACACAAGGCTGCAGGCTCCAGCCCCCCGCTTCCTCCCCCAGCCATCCACACACCCCATTGTCTCCGACTCCCACTGCCTCCCCAACACCCCTCCTCCCTGCCAATCCAGGGCTTAATTTGTCCCAAGGCTTGCCAGGGCTGAGTAAGTCTGCCGTGAAAAGTGATACTTGTATGTTTGTTATCATCATTTTTCACAGCAGACTTACTAGCTATCAAAAATAAATTACAATGATTTGGACACGTATATGTGCATATTTATTTGTTTTTCCTAAAGCTAATCAAGTATTTTAGGGAAAAAAAATATGAGAGCAACCACCAGCAAGAGCTGGTGGCCGCACTCTGAGGCCACCAAAAAATGTGTCCTGAGAACCCATCTTAGAACATTGCTAGCACCACAGCAAGGATGGAAGGGCCAAGATGACAAGTGCTGGAGTGCCGAAGTAGTGCAGAGTACCAGAAGCGACTTGCACTCAAGAGCCAAAGCAGGTGTCAAAGTGCTGAGTCACCAAAGTACCCAAAGCAAAGGCCTCAAAAATATTTGAGCGGATTTGACAGGAAAGCAGAGAGGAAACCTGAAGATAAATACCTAATATGTTACTGGAAACTGGGGCAATGGACAGTCAGGTGCTGCCTCCAAAAGGGAGTTCCTTTGATAACTGTAGTCAAGAAGGAACTGGCTTGGAATGTTCCAAGGGCAGCATTTATATTCTGCAGTGGGTAGCAACTGCACTAGGGACCTAGCTCATACTCTACCTCTCTACTGCTGCCCTCAAGGATCAAAGGGAGAGGTAATGGACAAGTTTCCCAGTCTTGCACTGAGAAGTTAAGACCTACAACTGAAAAATCTCACACAGATAGTACCTTTAGAGAAATTACTTTCAACAGATTAGAGCCTAAACTCCAGGATAATAATCTCATCAGGAGGAAAGACTGTACTACGTGATCTCTTACAAAATGTGAGTCATTTACCATAACAGCACAAAGACAGGAGACCAAGAGAAACAGGAAACATACAGAAAGAAAAGGAGTACTTGTGGCACCTTAGAGACTAACCAATTTATTTGAGCATGAGCTTTCATGAGCTACAGCTCACTTCATCAGTACTCCTTTTCTTTTTGCGAATACAGACTAACACGGCTGTTCCTCTGAAACCAGGAAACATACAGGTTAGTATAATCATGTGGGACCCCTCTGAATAGCTATTTTCTATAATACATCAAGTTTAGATGCTATATTTGAGCAACAAGATTTATGCAGTTTATTTCACTTGTATATTACAAAGCACATAGATTTAATACTATTACAATTAAAATCAAAATTAGAATCCTTGTAATAGTTCCCCCCCCCGCCGCCCCGAAATACAACCAATAGAAATCTAAACATCTTAAATAGTTCAGCTTGCTTCTTCCACGAATACGCAAGGGAAAAAAAAGTGCATTAACAGCAGGCCCCAAAAGTTAAAGCCAGGTTTCTTGTGGAAGGAAAAAAAAAAAAAAGAGTTCCAGATCTGAAGTCCCTTTCTTAGAAAATGCCCTACCACAAGCCCACTTCCACACCTCTAGATATCACACAGTGACAGACAAATTTCAAGTTAATCAGATTCCAAACCATTTAGAATTTTATATCTTAAAACCAACACCTTGGACTCCACCCTGAAACAAAACGGCAGTTAATGAAGATCACAGAGCACCGGTGTTATGCATTCCTGGTATGAAATATTAATATGTACTAACACATTCAATACTAACTTAAGTTATGGATGGTAGGAAGATGTAGACATATAGAGGGGACAATAGTCTAGCCTAAAGGTGATAGATATGAATAACTGTAGCAAATTATTCATCTGGGAAAAAAACACTGTTGCACTTGTCTCATCTGGCCAATATAGAACGGAGTGTTTCAGACCACAATTGCCACCTGAGCATCCATGAGCCATCCAGGATCTATAAAAATCCCTAAATTGTAAATCTACACTACAAACAGCACCATGTACCCTCAGGGGTGTCACTACAGCCTTTGCCAATCCTTCCAACTGCTTAATAACCTACAAGTACTATTTCGGTTTTCTCTGGATTGAACCTCAGCCAGCTCTCATGGAGATACCAAGTAATATGTCCCAATAGGATCAGATTAGGGAAAAAACCAGAGCTTTTTCTCAACACACTGAAAAACACAATGGCACGTATTTCCTTCCTAACCATCACAAAAACTACATATATTAATTGATCAAAGGGGAGTAAAACAGAACCTTGTAGAATCCCATGACACTTCTCTCAGGGAAGATGAGCAACTGTCCAAAGTACTATCCTCTGGGAATTCTCATTATGAAAGAAGTTAAGACATTTGCTAAGGACTGCAAATCAGTCAACACCACTTTATGATCAGGTGTTTAAGGCAACAGTTCAAAAAGAATCAGTACACACTTTATCCTTGTTCATCGTTAGTAGGAGAGATCAATTTCTGCAATACCATATGCCCCATATCCAGGTCTAAAACCGGAGTGATGGGGTGGTCCCAAAAATCTGAGAACTCCAGAATACTATAAATTGCCATGCTACAAACTTTTCAACAAATTTTCCTTCGATAAGACACACCAAACCCAGCCAACATAAAGATAAGACTCAAAATGCAACTGAAAGAGCATAAAACAAAAGAAAAAAAAAATCAAGCTTACTTGTTTCTCTGACACTGGTAACTCTTTCCAAGCATATGCAATTTTTTTTGCTATCTCCAAAATGCTCACATCTGTGAAACAAAAGAAAATTTTAACTTTTTTGTTTACAAGGAAGAGAGTAAGAAAATTGAACTTGTTTTAATGTTTAAAATGTTCTTCGTTTTCCCCAGGAAAGAATTTGCTACTCGTATTTTTCTGCCACAGACATTCTTTTTCCATAAAATCTGTCTTAACATGCCAGTACGAGAAACTGAACACCAGGTGAATAAAATAGATTTTCTTTTATTCCTAACAGAAAGATTAAATGTCACTATTTCAGAAACAGGAATTTTTTTGTGTGTGACCTATACAGAAATTTTTAGAAGTTGGGCTTATGTTTCTTTTTTCTTCATTACACTGCATACTGAAAGAGTTTTTTGTTTGTTTTTTTAAAGTTTAAAGTTTCTCCTTGCTTTTGTTTTGGTTTCTTACTTAGAAATACCAGGATAGTCAAGTCTCAACTTCCCTCGTTTTGCCAGAGGATCTGCTGAAATACACCAGGTACAGGTTCAGCTTCACACCTTAACTGAATGAGAAGTGGTGTTGAATCTTCAAATGGCAGGTACTTCATTTAAAATGTCAATCATTGAAGTGTTAACCAATCCCCAATTTCCCACAAACAACGGTTTAGAGAATTAGCCTAAAATGCCCTTCCCTTCTCAATTAGCTTTCACTCCTTACTTCTGTAATATCATCATGTCATGAATCCTTCAATCAGAAAGTTTTTCAGGTCAAACAAGACTTGTAAAATAGAAGCAGTTAAAATTTTTGTTGACAAAAATCTTTTAAGGCTTTCTTTAAACATCTTAGTGAGAGAAAGGGCACAGGCTCAATTCCTCCCCGCCAACACACTTTTGCAGGTCACCTTTCCAAAAATGCCAGTTCTGCTTTTCCACTATTGACATGACTGAACCTAAGCATTCAGTAACTAATTCAGGCTCAAAAAGTATAGGCAGACAAGACAGACCTAGAATACATGGGTCAGCCTCTCCTTTCACACTCCACTCAACAATGCCACATTTTGCCATGGATTATTAGCTTTTCGGAGAAAAGAAGGATAACTTTATCAAGATGAGGAAGAATACTACTTTATCAGGTCTACAAAAAACTTTTTGTGCCCATGGGATGGAATATACTAATTTGCAGACAAAGGCTTTGTCTACACTACCAAGTTTTGTCGACAAAACTTATGTTGACACCCAAAGGTCGACAAAACAAAATCGCAAAAGGGTGTTCACGCTTGCTTCCTCTGTCGACAGATCACGTCCACATTGTCGGCACCATCATCGACAGCATGGGTATGTATCCCACAGTGCAGTGTTGTGGGAAGGCAGAGCTGATCGCTGCGCATCTTGGGAGGATTCCCTCCATGTTCTCCCACAGCCTCCTCAGCTGCCGGGAGCGGCATCATGAGTAGCTCTGTGAGCTCTCTGTGCTGAGGATGTCAAAGCAGGGGCTGCTGTGTTCCTAGTGCAGGGCAGAACAGGAGCATTCCAATGATATGCTCTTTGTTCCCCAAAGGGAGCAGCACACTCAAGAGGTCATATACTTGGCCCTGCAGTTTTGAAAGGGGAGGGGCGCATGGTGCTATCTGTAGCATAGATTTACAATTTAAGGATTTTTATAGATTCTGGATGGCTCATGGATGCTCAGGCAGCAATTGTTGCATCTGGCCAATATAGAAGAGTGTTTCAGACCACAAGTACAACAGTGGTTTTTTCCCAGATAAATAATATGCTACAGTTATTCATATCTGTCACCTTTAGGCTAGACTATTGTCCTTTCTCTACATCTACATCTTCCTACCATCTAGAACTTAAGTTAGCATTAAATGTGTTAGCACATCTTAATATTTCATACCAGGAATGCATAATGCTCTGTGATCTGCATTAACTGCCGTTTAGTTTCAGGGTGGTGCCCAAAGTGGTTTTTGGCCACAAAACTTGGTAGTGTAGACAAAGCCTACGTCACAGAAAGGGATCATGCACTGGGATCTGGGTAGGTAACTGAACGAGAACTTCAAGCATATTTTTATAGGAGAACTTTCTGATTACAACCTCTCTACAGCCAAATGACTTAAGAATTCTCAACTGTTTATAATTTAAAGTGAGTTACCTCAAAACTTGTCCAAGATAATCAAACCATAATTTAGTTTCAGTACTTTAAAATAATAATTTCTATATACAGTAATCCTCAATTAGACCAAGTTTCCCCATTCTCAAATGATTTTTTCCATATCAGAACATCATTCAATTTTGCAGCTCTCACTGGCTACGAATAGGAATGAAAGCCTGATCTGGTGCTCATTAACACATGCATACTTTAGGACAACTAAAAATATTCAAGGGAAAGACACCCACTCTTAAAAATATTTGCTCTTTCCCAATTTAGGTCATGGACAGACCCACCATTTTCAAAGCCCAGCAAATTACTAGATAAAGCATCAGGATAAAAGCTTGTACTGGGCATTGGTACATAATCAAAAGTTACCTTTTTAGTATCCATGAAAATAAATATTCACATGCAATGAGAGAATGCTAATCATTACAACGCAAATATTTAATCGGGTTCTTTTTTGAAGTTCTCATTTTAAGTACCCTATCAATATAACAAATATTTATTCTACTCTGAATGAATTAAAATTCAAAGTTTTTTTAGAGCTAATATAAAGTATGGGCAGTATGTGTATCTAACATCCAATCCTGATATTTAATTTTACTGGATTTTATCACTTTAATATGTTCTTTTAAAGTTAATAAAGTTTAGTTATTCATATAATATTTAGTTTGACTCAAATACTCGTCTAATTTTTTAGCCAAAGAAAACTGAAAAAAGTGCATACACATCTGAAATAAAACTGGGTTCAATAAACAGAACTGCCAACACATTTTAACTAATTCATACTAAAATAAAATTATTTTATTTACGTTGCTAATCAGTTTATGAAAAAAATAAGTTATTCTAATACCAAATTTCTTTAGAGAGTTCCTTACCTGGATTTTGTTCCCTAAAAATGGGCTGCTGATCTTTTACAAAACGAAAGTAGGCTGTTAAGGGTCGCTTTGGAGGATTATCGGAACTGATCTGTTTTGAAAACCACTTCTCCACTGAGTATGTAGTGCTGCATCTTTAACACACACAAAGTTATCAGATATTAAAAATACATCAATATGTAAACTTAGCTGTAAGTTACACTTCAAAATAACGTGACCATTAGTTTACAATCCAAAAGTAAACAGTATTACCAGACTCCAGAATAAGCCCACAACTAACATTTACAGCCCATCATGTTCCTAGCCAAAAGGCACAGGAGCTCCCCCAGAAACAACTCCGCATTTGTAACCAGGCTTGGGTCAGCCACTTCCAACATGCTGAAAGCGTCTATCACCCCCACCCAAGGACACGCTCCCTCCTAGGAGCAAAGAGGGCCACAGGGCAGAACGGGAGAAGGGAAGGATGCGCGGAGGGTGCCCGAAGGGGTGCGGCGGCCAGGGAGGGGACGATGCGCGGAGGGTGCCCGAAGGGTCCGGCGGCGCGGGACGGAGACAGGGACGGTGCGCGGGGGGCACCCAGGGGTGCTGCCGATAGGGGGAAGGCGGAGCGAGGGGACGAGACGAGCGCGGCTGGGGCGGGATGCAGACAGATGCGCTGGGAGGACCAAATGCGCCCGGCTCACTCCAAAGTTTCGCCACTAGCCCCGGGCGGCGCCTTCACCTGAGAATGTGCCGGGGGCTGGGAAAAGCGGCCAGGGCCCGGCCCAGCAGCGCGACCGCCATAGCACAGGCAGACAAAAACAGGACGCGGCTCCCCTCAGAGCCGCGCGCGCTGCTGACGCGGTGCAATGTGGGAAGAAGCAGGCCCCGCCTCTTTGATGGAACAGGACCTCAAGACAGCTAGTCCCCAACGCGCATGCTCCGAACCGTCCCCCGGCCGGCGGGGGGAGAGGAGGAGGCTGCCGCGTGCAAACCGGGGGGGGGTTGAGCTGGGAGTTCGGCGCGCCCCCTCCTGTAGCGGCTTCCGGGGGCTAGCGGGGGGACCCAGTAGCGGCTGGGTCCCTCCCCCGCGAGGCTCGGGCTCAGGCCAGCACCTCAAGCCCAGCTGGCCCCGTTTAGGTGTTATCCGAGCTGTTCAGTGCCCTATGACGGATCTCGAGCCGGCCCCTCCCCCAAAGATTTGCGAGCTAGAGGAGAAACAGAGGCGGACAAGTGCTTTACGGAGCCTTTTCCAATGATGTGTGGGCACTGTGCAGCCTTCCAATGCGCCTGCCGTCGCCCACACCGCGCCCTTTCTTTGACTCGGTTAGCTCAGATTGGAATTGCGCAGGAATAGCTCACGGCTCACATACCAGTTTTTAGGCAGCTATCCCCGCTGAAATCAATATATTCTGCCTTTAAAAAAAAAAGTCGATCCCATACAGGTATTTGAAGAAACTCACGCGGGTGATCGTTGCATTCCCTCACTTGAAGCCCTTTTATATGCTGTCAGTAAGCATGCATTAAAGTTACGATTTTTCTCTAAAGATAGTGTCTGTACAGGATTCTCACACTTGAGTTTTAGCCTCTTAGTGTGAGACTGGCAGAGCCTCCCTAGTGTTACTCAGAGACAAGGTGGGTTAATTTATTGGATCAATTTACTTCTGTGACAAGCTCTCAAGCCACACAGGTCTTCTTCATTTGTGGCTTGAAAGCTTGTCGCCCTCTCTCTCACACACACACACACAAGTTGGTCCATTGTAAGATATTACCTCACCCACCATGTCCCTTTAATATCCTATGGGATTCTCACACAGCTATAACTACATTGCATATGCAGCTCTGTTTAGAGCAGCAGTAGCTGCAAAGAGTGCAAATCAGACAAGCCTCTATTGGCTGTCATGTGCTATCTGCAGGAGAGTATATGTGCTGTCCTTGACCTTTCAATTTCTTCTTTGCTGTAATGAAATAGCTTTCAGGACAAGCCTGCACCTCAGGAGCCACTGTTTCATCTCTTTAGCAGACCCTAACCAACTTTTCTGGGGTATTCTTTTCTTACTAATAGCTTTGTCTTCTAGTCAGTTTCAGTGTGATTTTATAGATTTTTGACACCATTGTATCATTACTTCAGTGTCGGCTGTAGTGGGAGATAGCACTAGTCTTTAGGGCTAAGCACTGTTTTTGGTACTCTAGGGCTGTTCTTTCTTTTGACACGATATGTTTTTTCAAAAAGAAAAGGAGTACTTGTGGCACCTTAGAGACTAACCAATTTATTTCTTTATTTTGGTGCCTCTTTTTGGTCAGTGCCACAATGTCACCAGGCTGTTTCTGCTTGTTGGTACAGTTGTGTGACAACATTGTCCTTAGTACTCTGACATGGAAGTTGTTAGGCAGTTTATTACCCAGAATCTAGTTCAATTAGTGCCTGTGTCAAAGCCCAGGGGCTTCTTTTGTCTATTGGTCCAGAAATACCAGTACCATTTTTCCTACTTTAATGTCCAAAAGGGAAAGGAGACCACTTAGTGTCTTAAAACACCTTGTCATATTTTTAACATTGAAACCACCCAGCAGAGGCACCTGTGTTGCAAGATAAATGGTCCTGATGAAGTTGATGAAAGGTCTTTTAGGACTACTCAACTCCTGTGAAGTTTTTTTTTCCACATGTGGAAAGTCATTTCTGGTGGCAGCCACTCTTGCTCACACAGCTGACTGATCCACCTTATACTAGATTTTATAATAATAATTGTATTGTGATTCTACGGAGATTCCTCACCATGCGTTCAACCTTAGACTATTATTGTAGCAACATTTTCCTCATGCTATACAGGTTTCTCTGTGATAGGCAGGTGCATCACTGTGAAAGACCCATCCAATTTTGTTTCTTTTGACACTAATGTATCAGGCAATATTTTTACTAGGACAATCACAGCTAAATGGATGTCTGATTGCATCGCTGCAGTCTGAAACCAGAAGGCTATGTCAAAACTTACTTATTTTGAGACACAACCATTACATAACAGTCCATCTCAGCTGTTTCCCTAGAAAATCATCTGCCAATCTACTAAGTGGTCCTCTTTCATTAAAAAAATGCTTTAAAAGAGCCCCCCATTAGGAGTATCTGGGCACGTTTTTTAATTTATCCTCTCAACACAGCCGGCACATAGGGAAGAAATATTCCCATTTAAGAGATGGGCAACTGAGGCACAGAGGCTAAACCCAGGTCCTCAGCAATACATGTTTAACTTCCAATGATTTTGATGGTAGTTAGGTACCTAAATACCTTTGAGGATCTGGTCCCAAGTCTCTGTGCTTCAATTCCCCATCTGTCAAGTGGGCCTAAATGATTTACCTAAGGTCACCTATGAAGTTTGGGCCCAAGCAAGGAATAGAACTCAGGGTTCCTAAGATTCAGACCAGTGCCCTTCCCCCTGGCCCTCCTTGCTTGGATTTCACCCTCAGAGATAAGACTTTTCAACTCAGCTTTAGAGCTCAATTCCAGAGTAAAAAGCCAAATGCACCCATCACTTTTGTTTTCTTTCAGTGTGTCCCTTATTTTGTTTGCTTATTTAAAAAAAAAAAATCGGTCAAGACTTCAATGTTGCGTTTGATATTGCTGTTGTGTTAACAGTACAAAGAGGAATAAGTTGATACAAATATAGAACAAGCTCCCTTTTTCCATTAGTAGTAGCTTCACTCTTTTGCAACATCCCTTCCACTTCTTGTGTGAGTGAGAATCTTGCTGATGGTATTTTTAGAGAAGAGTATTTAGCCTACAGTAATTCTTCTCTAATTATGCTGTTTTGCACCTTATCTTTTTTCATTCCATAGAGCATTCTCTTGCCCTTTTCTCCTCTGTTTCCCTCAGTGAGGAACAGCAGTTTCCTTCTGAGGGAATGATGCATTCATCAAAACAGTGTCTTCAATATTCTTCCCAGCTGCTTTTTACACCCACTGCAGTCCCCAAACCACTATTCCCCATACACAAAGCTGCTTTTAATAACCCCAATTCATTCCTTAGCAGTTGAACACAATACTGAAAATGTACGATTAGACATATGAGTACTTAAAGAGCAAATTATTCTTTAACAGAGACAGATAAACATTTTTAATTTTTATCTTTTAGGCCTCAGTTGGCATCTTTAGGCAGAAAATACCACACAAACATCAGAAATTTGTTGAACAAGTTATTAGAAAGCAAGCCATCTGTAATATTAGAGTAAGAATAAATAAGAATAAAACTAAGGTTACATTTTCAAGAATTTCCAGAGATACAGAGATCCTTTAGTTGTGGCAATGTCACCATAGAGAGGACAATCAGATGAAGCATTTTACAGTGAACAGTAGAATATGACTCGATAGAGAGGAGGGAAGCACAGATTATTTATACATTGTTTATTCCATCATAATGAAAGCAGCAGGACTGAGCAACCTTCTGAAGAGAGAAAAGAAAAAGTCTTCATAATGCATCATCTAATAAGTGATGACAGAACATTTACCAGGAAATTCTTAAAATCCTTGCTTATTCAACAATGGCTTAAATGTTGTCCTGGTGGATGAAGTTTGGGATTACCTAAAATGCCAGTCAAAGAAATCAAAGTATCAGACTTATAGATAGTAGGTATGATATTTCTTGGACAGAAAGTTTAGACTATTTAAGGTAGATTGATAGCTGAGTCAGAGACCGAATACCACTGAGAAAACTTCTACAAAGAATGTCTTCAAGACACTTATCTTCAAAGAATCCTATAAGGTTAGAGTAAAAACTAGTGCTGCAGTCAGATCATCATTGTCAGTTAATTTGATTTCTATTGTTCATCCCAAAGATCTTGCATTATGATGGGAAGCTATTCCTTTTTATATGGTGTATACTCAAATATTGCCAATTTACGTATAAATATTTTCAAACTAGCCTTGATGTTTTAGTAAAGTAAAAGACAAAGAATAATTAATTCCTTTTAACATGCAAGTCAAGCTTCTAAATTTCACATCGTTAAGCATAAGACACAAAGAACTATTTAAACCATTTGTTCTGGTACAAGCATATAACTAACAAAAATGTAAGAAACACAAATGTAAAAGAATTCTGGGAAAGATTGTTACTCAGAAGCCTTTTCCGCCCACTAGAGATATTACACAAAACAAATGAATGGTGAATAGTTTAGCTTCCTTAGCAGTAATATCCCATTTCAAGTAGAGTGGAATTACTCATTTATTTTTACTATTAAAGACTTTTATTGACCATTTTAAAGATGATATATTCTACAGTGTATAACCGGGACATTCTTTGAAGCAGTGCAAAGAAAAAACTTTAGTGCTTCTCCACTAAGTGTTGATCTCAAAAGTCAACTGTATGTATTAGAAAAAAAAGTGACATTTCACAACTGACCAATTTGTGCTGCTGTTTCATATTCTTGGCAATGGTGAATCAAGGAGTTTTAAACAAGTATTAATTAATAAAAAATTCCAGTGGTAGAAAAAGTTTCTAGCATGCATGCTGTTCTACACATTCCAGTTAGGTGTTTGCTACAGTAAATGGCATTTTTTCCTTGGTGTAAGAGAAAGCACTGGAGTTAGCTTGCACTCAAAGGTTTTGGTTCCTGTGGTGGCAAATTTCCCATTCAATCCAGTTTTGCTTAATGCAGAAAGTTCAAAGCATTTTTTTTTTTAAACACACAATTATTTAATTTAGCATCCTAAGGGGAGGGAGGGGAATCTGTGTTTTGAGATTAAAACGCTTTCATTTTTAGTTTAAAAACAAAATCTGCTTTTCCAATACTATGGATTTTCTACATGCATTGTGAAGTAGACTTAGATGACACAGTTAATGGAAAAGTTAGCTTCACGTGTGAAAAATATTAGACCAAAATATTGTTAGACATAAATGAGGGAAGATTCTTTACCATGACATTCTGATATTGAAAGTATACATTTATATCAATTTATGAGAAGTGTCTGATGCCCAAACATATGTGATTTTTTTCTTGTCAAAAGAGAATTACTTGTATGTGTTTAGTGTAGGATTTCAGCAAAGTTGAATCCCACACAATACAAAGCAATGGGCATAACATGTTAAATAAATTGGGCTACAGCTAACAAAATTAATTGCAACAGTTAGAATTAATATCAGATGCATGGCTTTATTTTCCCCTTTGTCTATAATTCACATGCATAACTTAATATTTTGATCTTTTAATTTTAGAGCAAGCACTTACAAGGTTATGCAAGATTTAAATAATAGCCAAGACAAATAATAGAAAATGCATTTTATTTATATGGAAAAAGCTACAGTAAGATTTGTAAAAGGTCTATGAGAATATTATGTTGCCAATAGAGGGGGAAAAAATCAGTCATGAATAGCAACAAACAGAACAGTTACATCTTTCTACATAGCAGTGCAATTAGTTCACATTGCAATAAAATTAAGTCAAGTATGCAACAGAATAAAAAAAACCAAGTGTTTCTCCATAATCAACATGTTAAGAATTACAGTGCAAAGATCATTTTAGGTTTTAAGAAATCTGCAATCAGTCTGTATAATAGCCCATAGGGAGCAACACCTCATTGATTTCATTACTAGCAGTTGTATCATGTCAATACTGTGCTAAAGGAAAAAAAGTCTAAATGAATTAATTTGCATGGTAAATAAAATATATTTAGTCTATACAGTAAAAAAATACAAATTATATAACAACTAACAGAATGAAATTTTGAACGGACTCATGAAATTGACAACATATCTTAAAGACACATACAGTATTTCTCATGTAAAGCATCTAGTTTTTCAGCAAAAAATAAGTTGGTTGCTTTACAACTGCATTAGGGATCTTGTAGCTGAAGATGCAGAAGTCCAAGAGTCTTAAAAACCACAATAAATGTCTTTTGCAAAGCATACAAAAAGGATAAATAGTCTCATCACAGTTTTAAGATTATTTTTGGAAGTTTGTTTTTTCTTGCTCCAGAAACACACTTACATGGGTAAAAATTAAAAAGGGCCTCATGGTACATTGAAACAGTCAACTGTGCTCCATTTACTTCTAATTTTGAAAAAACCTAGAATTTACAGTACTCTGTGGTATATATGAAAAAGTCTTCACAAGTTTACATTGCATATTTCTGAGTCCATTCTCTTGCATGTCTGTTGTATCTGTATGTATAGAAAGAAGGCATTTCAATGAAGATAGGTATATATATGATCCACAGCATCTACGTAAGTACTCAAATGATGCGTTACTGGCTCTCTACCTTTTGGGATTGATTATAAACTTGTGAAATATAAAGAATGTTTTACATAGTAACTCTCTTTCCTCAAGAAACAAAATACGTAATTCATAGCATATAGATACACATGCTCAGTTTTGGAGCTACCTAAAAAAATAAAGTCTAACCACAGCAGTCTTCGATGATTGCATTAAAATGTAAGAAATCTACAGTTTGTGCATATGTAATCAGTCTTTTGCTAATAGTTCTACAGTGCACTAAACAGTGCCAAAATCAACAACTCTAGCATACTTATGACTATTAGAAACACATTAGCTAATTAATACAGGCAAGTAGTAGGTCATTAAAACAATGCACACCATATACTGAAGCACAAGATTATTTTATTTCACCATCTGTTTCTCAATGTCAACTCTATTTTGGCTGTAGAAATTCACTTTACAGTAAGTTAATTTAAACAAGTTTTTAAAGACTTTTCCTAGAAGAAAGGTAAGAATTGCATTAAAGCTAATTACATATCATTAGACTGAACAAGGTCAAATTATTAATGTCATTATTAGAAAGTTATTTCCAAAATATTATTTAGGTATAAAAGGTCTTATTGAACTAGGTCAAAACCTAGGAAGGTTTTTTTTGTAATTCTCCTTATAGTTGTCAATTAGTGTCACAACTACCATTGTCTGCCAACAACATCTGAACTTTGACACTCAAAAGGGAAGTAATCATGCTTCTCCGAAAGTATCATTTGACTGGATTTCTATCCTTGGGCCTTTTCCTTTCTTCATGAGACTGGCCAGAACTCCCAAATCTAGGAGTTTGGGGACTGCCAACTCTCTCCATGCCTTGGTAGCAGCACTTGGGTATATTAAACACCTGACTGTAGGCTCTGTAGCCTCTTGTGCCCCCACCTGTTAGTTCCTTCTTCAAATAAAAGGTTGAAGCAAGAACTTTTGCAAAACCTAATCCCTTTAAGATGCCAATATATGTAATTAGTGCACTAACTGCAGTAGTCTCCATAATCTGCAAAACACATGCTAATGGAACATAACTCCTTGGACTTTAAGTTAATATTGGTAAAAGTCGGTGTATAGCATAACCAGAGTTTAGTCAGCCATAACTTTCACAGACCAAGTCTGAGAGGAGATAAGTTTAATAGAAAGCCAACCAAAGGATAACTTCAATGAAGCAGAGTTACAGGCAAATTTTCCTCTCTCAAACCATTCCATACCGATTGGATTCTTAGTCCTCACTTTAAAGAGGGAGTCTCCATAAACCAAGAGATTCTCCAAGAAACTGTATGGGAATTTCCACACCACCTTAAGAAATGTGGAGACTTTTCAACACCACTCCCCCGCCCCCCAATCAACAACAGGAAGAAGAAATATTGAGTAAATGAACAGGCAAAGGCTGAGCCCTGATTTCTTCATCTTGAGAACAATAGGGTTTGTATTATAAGGTAGATATACAAACAAGTTCAAATATTGGGGCAGTGCTTGCAAAATGGGTCAGACAATTTGATTACACCAAACATCATAACTGGCAAGAAAAAACATCTTAGCAGTCTGCAAAAATATCCACTGCATGGACAAGGAAGACTGTTTCAGCAGAGGAATATCCTTTAAGACGACCATAACCTCCATCTAACATAAGCAAAGACCCCAACACAACTTGACAAATAGAACAGTTTTCAAATTGAAAACAATCTTCAGTTACCTTCAGAAAACTGTGCCCAGTGAGGAGGAACTACGGCCCATCTGCAGGTGTACCAAAAAGTTCCTGAATGGATGAGTATTAAAAAGCTAAATCGGATTCTATCTGTAATATGTAGATGACAGTCAATGTCACACATTTTCCTCGTAAGTACCTTTCATCTTAGTGCTGCTATTAATGAGTATTATTGTAGCAGGCACACACAAGCTTGTTCACATGTTACAAGCAGTTGTGATCTCTTCCAGATATTCCATACAGGCTCTAGAGATCCTGGAACAATGAGTGTAACTGATTAAGGTAATAAAGAAAAGACCCCCGAGGCTACCAACAATTAGCATAAACACCACCAGTGAAATACTGCCCCACTGAAGTCAATGGCAATACTCCCAATGACTTGAATAGGGCTAGGATTTCAGCCAGAATCAAAGGTAGCCAACATGCATCCCAAACACAACATCCACCAACCTAATAGTGTCTACCAAATACTCGATCCAAAGAGCGAACAATATGAATTTGTGGAATCTGGAAGGGCTTAAGACCATCACTAAGAGCAAGACATTGTGTTTACTGCATCTTCACTGATATTATGTATTGTGTTTTCAGGCCCACTAAAATGCTCTTATGTGGTTCAGATGTCACAGGTACTCGAATACTGTTGCAGAACACAGTTTAGGGCATATGCTGCAACAGAGTTTCAATATGTCTGTTTTAGCAAAGAGTCAGACCAGATCCTGGACTTGGACTATCCAGACCAAGAAACAGTATGTCCCACAGGACCTCTAGGAAGAAAGTTCAATCCCCCAACTACTTTGAGCACCCTGGTGTGGAAGACTGGTGCACCTCCAAGTTACTCTGTTATCACATCAATTGTTCATTAGAGTAGTCAATCATTCCACCGTTTAGAATGACTGTTAAAACACTCAGATTGTGGTTATAGGACCAATGGATCCATATTCCTGCTGAACGTAAGAAAAAGGTTTAGAAACAGGAATTAGAAGAAGGAAGCATATACAGATGTTCCTGTCTCATTGGAAATAAGCAGCTTTACTTGTGGAGGAGATTGTCTCAAGTACAAGCTCTCTGAGATACAGAACTCCTCCTCTGCCTTCTCCCCACCCCCTGAGCTACCACCACCTGGCTCTTCAAGCCACTCTCACAGTGCTAGTGTCTGATACACCAGGGGAAAGCTCCAGAGATTCAAAGACACTGGCATTCCAAATTTACTCCAGGGAACCTTTTGGAAATTCCCAAATCTGGTCTGCAATATTCTGAGGGCCCAGAGCCTGTAGCCACCCCCATGTGAAGTGCCCCATAGTGTGCCTAGGCATCAACTTCCTGAGATATCCAGAGATAATCCTCTAGAGTCTGAAATGCTCAGAGAATTCACTCTGCACAGCACTGTTCTGGAGATAAGCTTCCACTCTGTGCCAAAGACCTGGAGACTCAGCTGACCACAAAACACTGGTACCAGACGTTCCCGGGGCTACAGCCATGCAATGTACTTGGATCACAGTGCTTCAAGCCACCCCATGGCAGGGATGTGTAACAGAGTGCTGCCTGAAACCATCAAAATTCAGCTTTGGGAGTTCCAGGCGCGCTTTGAGAACAAGACTAAGACCAAAGAGTAGGAATCCAGTCAATATGATACCTTTAGAGATTAAATCCTTTCAATTTAAATCTCTTCTGCACCAGAAGTATGCACTACTGCAGCCACTAGTTGCCTAGGTTGCCATCCAGATACAAGCTATCCCACCAGTTCTAAATTGAGGTCAAGGTGAAGAAAGGTCTATTTTTGCTGTAGGATTTTCTTGTTTGTTAGATGAATGTGGCTATGGAAAAAACTTCTCAATATTTTCTATATTTTAGACAGAAGTTGTATTTGGGAAATCAAATGTCAAAATTTAATATCCATGTTCAATATCTTTTAACCTTTTAGCAGAGGCATAAGTCTAACAAGTCTTTCATAACAGGACCAACATCCCATCTCAAATAATATATTCTGTTATTTGTCCTCATGTAATTTAAAACTAATGTAAACATACAAAAGAAGTGTCAAGGTTGTATGTACAGATTTGTGCACTAAAATATTAGGAAATATCAATGTTGATTTGTGTAACCCTACAGTCTACTAAAGTGGTTTAATTGAAGTTATAAAATTATTACATGGGTTCTTGTTAAAATTCTATTGTTTAAAGGCTTAGCTATGTATATCTTTGGTATACCTAAGTTTTGAGAGCATATATGAAGAGAATGTCTTCGAAGAATGAGAGGGAACGTTTTATGCGTAGCAGATTAAAAGCAAGCCTCTAAATATCAAAAAGTTATACTTACTTTTCCTTGTCTGACTTGTAGATTTGTGCAATATCTGGTACTAAAGGGTCATCAGGATTAGGATCACAAAGTAAGGAGCATATGGACAATAAAACTAAAAAAAGAAAATAGATTAAGGAAGGGATTACTGCTTTGTCTTATTTTCTATAATACCTTACTATATACAGTGATAAATTTTGGGAAACAAATGCACATCATTAGTATTAAATCTTTATACTACAAGTCTGCCCGGAAACCTCACTCAGGATCATGGTCCCATTCTGCTCAATGCTGTACAGACATACATGAGGATATGGTTCCTGACCCAGAGAGTGTACACTCAAAGAACTTGATGCAAAATACAACAAACCATGCAGACCCATGTGCCTGTGAGGAATTCATTGCAGGACTCAGGCCTTAGAAGTGAAACTGACAATTTTGACTTACACACGTTAAAGAAAACTACATACGGTCATGTGAACATTTTATCAGACTGTAAGCCATTTTGCTTTAAAACCAATACAATTAGTTTCTTATTGAGAGAGACTGACTTTCTGACAGAGGGCTTAGGGCAGGGTCACAGGATCAGCATGTACTAATTACAAATGCATCTATTTTATGTTCTGTGTCACTATCGTGCAACACCAGATTTTAGTGTATTTTTTCATTTTGTAGCCATCTTAGATTTATTTTCTCCAGTAAGACTGCATATGAAAATTTTCACCCAATTTGAATACACTAGGTATTAGATTTTTAATTCTAAACACTACAAGTTTTGCCACAAACAGATGTCAGTACTAATTTCTTGGCATTCTCAGGCAGATTTAATTTTACCACATTAAAAAGTAGTATTAAACTGAATTCAAAATGATATTTTGGGCTGTGGCAGTTTCAATCATTTTGTGCTGAAGTTTTTGGCACTTACTAATATCAACATAAGACACTAATATTTGACAACTCAAGTTGCTTGACTGGTCACATTGAGCAGTGACCACTTTAGCAGACATATGGTCACATCAAAGTCCTTTAATCCTGCTCAGCAAGAACATATGTGCAAGTGAAAACAAAAACTTCCATCAACCATTCAGGTTAGGCACCAGTTTGAGATATGCAACATATACGCACATGAATGAAATTAAGACTATAAAAGCATTCTACCTAAAGTGTGAACCAGGGGACAGACCACTCACCACTACTAATAAAAGAGCATTTAAGAAAAACATGGAGTGTAGCCTTTAAATCTGAGACAATGATAAGATGCAAATGGCTGACATCTTTTTTTTCCTCCCCTTTTCTTTCTTTTTTTTTTAATATGTCCTCTGACATTAATAGGGAACAAGACAATGGTTGCTCAGTGACAGGACAAGTGGCCAATTTATACAGAAAGCTGCAGATCGAATATACACAAGATGTTCCTTATGCATCTACCCCGCAATCAAAGTAAATTTAGAGACTTTTTATGTAGCTATTGAGTCTGTCCTGCACAGAATTGGGGTGTGTGGGCAGCAGCTGCATTATACAAGAAGCTACAATAGCTGCACCTGAATGGAGCAATTTAGATCAGATGAAGACTAACAATTTTGTCTTGTTCCAACTGAAAATGTAATGACACTATTCTAAAAGGAGACATTGTTTAGGGCGTTATTAAGTACCTAAGGAAACATTACATTGTTTAACCCTGTACATTTTTAAAGAAGTTCCATCATTAATAGTCGGATTGTATTTTATATCACTATATACAGAGTGTCAAGGAAAGGAGTGGGTAAGTGTAATGAGTAGTATGGATGAGAAATGAAAAGCAGTTCTGGTGCCTACACTTGAAGAAAGATACACCTTATGTGGAACTCCTACAACCCCAATAATATGAAGAGCTGTGCCAGGCAAAACTATCTAACCTCAGCCTTACTGTTCCAAGAGTAACATGCTTCAAAACTTGAGAAAATCTGAATGCTACACTAGATTGGTTAGATAATTGAGCAGTTTTATTTGCTGAAGATTTGAGGGCCAACAGACTGTGCAATCTCACACAAGAATGTGATATAGTCAGAACAGTTTCCCTTACCCCCACAAAAGCATAATTAAAAGGCTAGATTTACCCCACAAGATGATGATTCAGAGCCAGTCCCGATCACCACCCTAAATTCATCTATTTATGCTAACATGTAGCAAGGATCTCCAAAGCAGTGAGCCATCTGATATTTTAGATCTGCCTCAATACCAAGCCATGGATAAAGGACAGGATGGGTGAAGGATAGGATTTTCCATTTAATTGGAATCTCCTTGCTTTTGTGGGTTTACGATAAATCAGAAAACATACAGTTTACTCTCTCCTTTATATGCGCATGTAGTGAACGTTTTTTTATACACTACATGCGCATATAGAGGAGAGAGTAAACCTATTGTTTTGTGATTTATTTTTTTTTATATATATATACACACACACACACACTACAGAACTCCCCATGATATACCAGCTACCCTCCCTTGGAGCACCCCCTGGAAGCCCTTTGTGCAATCATAGTTATGTCTCTGCCTCAGTTTCCCCTGGTGCGCTTTCGATAAGTTCAATGAGGCTTGTATTCAGTGAACAATGCCCTTACAGGGGTCTGGGTTTATTTAATCAACGGCCACACGTGGTATGCAAACAAGCCTCTCCTTCTGCCAGAAGTCCCCAGGCTTCTCTGCTGCTGGCACCTCTGAAGTCTCTCCCTTGCTAACTCAGGGTCTCTCAGGCCTCCCTCCCTGGGAAGCTTTACTGTCTCTCTCCTCTGGCACATTCTGGGTGTGGTTCCTCTCCCCTGCTCTGCGAGGAGATTTTACTGGGAATAATCTCAAGAGCTTTCTCTCTGTATTCTGGGCTCCTACCTGAGCCCTCATAATCCTTTATAAGGCTCAAGTGTTCCTTAACTAATTAAACAGCACCCAGCTACTTCTCCAATTAACTATTCACAGACAGATCTGTGTTAGCTTATCCTCCTTAACTGAGCCAGTCACAGGGAGGCAGGGTGCCTGACCACTCAGAGCCAGCGCCCATGACACCTCTTTAATGTTAAAATACTAAATACAATGCCTACATGTAAATTCTTTTTCCATTCCCAGCGTCCCACACTTAAGTGGCACAAATTGAATAATAGTTGCTAGTCATATATATGACTCACTGTCTAATGTGACATCTGAAGTGTAAAAAAGGTTGCATGATCTGAAAGAGTCCGGAATCTTGTGGAATTTCCCATTTAAATACTGTGTAGGATAAAAGTTCTTACTCCCACCCTTTGCTACTGCTGTTTTCCAGCTACTGTCAGTGTAGGAATACACAGTAAGGCTGACCTAAAAATGCCATATCATCATCAAAATGTTCACCATCATTACTATTACAGATGCATAAAATCATTAGCACGTCTATGGAGTTACCTTTTGATACAGTCAAAGCTGGTGACCACTGTGACCTCAGGATATCAAGGCAAATACTCCCATTACTGTTTATGTTTGGATGGTATATTTTTGTTGTGAAAGCAATCTGTGAACAACAAAGAGGTTAGCTTCAAGCTCTGCTTATTACAACTGGCACCATAAGTGTTGCCCCTTTAATATCCAGTCATTTATTTTTAGAGTTGCTACTCACAGAAGTAACACAATGTGGACTTTTATCACCACGAACCATAGAATATCAGGGTTGGAAGGGACCTCAGGAGGTCATCTAGTCCAACCCCCTGCTCAAAGCAGGACCAATCCCCAATTTTTGCCCCAGATCCCTAAATGGCCCCCTCCAGGATTGAACTCACAACCCTGGGTTTAGCAGGCCAATGCTCAAACCATAGCCTATTGTACAAATATCTGACCCTATAACCCAGTTTTAACATTTGGTCTGCTATATTAATCAATATGAATAGGTATTTGACTTTGTTGCTTTTAACTCAAAAAATTGGGTTTTAAACAGGTAAGACACAGAAACAAAGCCCCAACCTAGGACTTTTATAACACTTTTAGGACAATTAAGTATTTACCTTTGGTGGTTTGAAAGGATAGTCTGTTGGAAAATGTACTGTGAGAAAAAACACTCCCCCTTGATATGCACTATCAGGCTGTAAAAGACAAAAAACAGGATTTATGCTACTGGGTTTTTTTTTAAGGGTCCTTTCTGATTTAAAGAGCCTTCTCAAAACTATGGCAACTTTGGCAAAATCTATTCACCAAACACACAATCTATTCTATTATGGCAAAATCTATTCACCAACACACAGCCCAAGTATGCGGGCATTGTGCTGGGAAGGCATGCGGCTGACAATGAGGGATGGAATCCTCCCCCAAGGCTGTGGAGCAACAGCGGAGCCATCCCTGACCACTACTGCAGAAACCCACACCCTACTGAACATCACTTTTTGGGAGAAAAAAGAGAGAAGGAAGAATGTTTGGCTGGTGAATCTACTTACTTGCTGATCCACCAGCTCCAAGCTAGCTCCCCCTGCATGTTTGGGCAGCGAAGTGCTCCTGGAACTCAGTTCCATGGCAGCACAGAACCTCTGAGCAGGCCCTCCTTATCATGCCCTCTGTGCAACAGAACCACAATTGCTCTGCTACAATCAGGGCCTTCCTCCAGCTTTAAGCCACAAATATACTTACCTTCGGAAGGGATTTCTCTTTGCAGGTGCAAAGAGTAGGGTTTTCCAGCATTACTCAGCTGATCATGACGACATCAGGGAGTTTTTAAAACACACAACATCTTTGTGACCTGTACAATCTGTGAACATGCATTTTGTTAGAGAACATGTGCACAGGTTTAAGTCCAGGTTGCACACAGTTAAAAGAGAAATATCTTTCTGTTGCAGTCATCTGTTGAGGAAACCCTTCATTTTCATAATTATGAAGGAAAAAAACCCCAAGATTAGGCGGTTGAGGGCCTCAAAGCTAAAGCATCCCTGTGACTTCTGACTAAGAAAAAATAATAGTTTCGAATTTCTTTGGTATCCTTAATGTAATTGCTAAGAATCTGATACCTGCAACAAAATAGTGCAAGTACACTGGCTTCTCAGATTCCCTATGTAGATCTAAGGTGGCCTGTTGCTCTTTGTTTTGGAGGAGAAGGGGAAAAAAAATATCTATCTTAAAAATCACCATAAATATCATTTTTACTTATTTAGGAAAGAGTGCCATAGGGAAAGCCATGTGAACACTTCATGTAAAGATTTCAAATGAAGAAATTTTTCAGTAAGAGAAAAGTTTGAAAACAGTACTGCTAAGAAGTCAGTATTACGTAATACCAAACCAAAAGTGGTTGTCACAATACTTCTAGCTAGGAATAAGATGACAGTTTGCATGCATACTAAATGGACCTGTCCATCTTAAAAGCTTTTAAGATCAAACAAATTTAACATTGATGAAGAGGAAAAACAAATTTACACTGCATTTGGCATGTACCACATATAAAAATTCAGAATGAAGACAATCCTTTACTTAATCGCTTAACGTTGGAGAACTAGGCTTGGAAGGATTAGATTTTTATTGGTGAGTGTCAATTTCACCAAACACATACAAACCAACAAAAAATATTTCCATCAATACTAATCAAAATGTACAGATAAACAAGTTGAGAAAACTGCTGCTTAAGAACTTATGAGAGTTTGATTTAAGATATTCTCTTTGTATATTTTGACATGTGATATTGACAATTTGTGTTTTAATGGTTAGAAAGCTTTACCTTAACCAGGTAAGTGAAAGTTTAAATTGATAAAAATAAAAAGATGCTTAAAATAATTATCAGTCAAAATGATAAAAAAAGAATTCTGCCAAATCTACAACTCACATACTGTACCCTGATTTATAACACTACACAAAGGCTCCAATAGTTAGATTATGAACTCTAATGTTTTTTGTAGGGCTGTCAAGTGATTAAAAAAAATTGTGATTAATCACACTGTTAAACAATGGATTACCATTTAAATGTTTTCTACGTTTTCAAATATACTGATTTCAATTACTACACAGAATACAAAGTGTACAGTGCTCACTTTATATTTTTATTACAAATATTTGCACTGTAAAAAACAAAAGAAATAGTATATTTTAATTCATCTAATACAAGTACTGAAGTGAAGAGAAAAGGAGTACTTGTGGCACCTTAGAGAACTAAAATTTATTTGAGTATAAGTTTTCATGAGATACAGCTCACTTCATCGGATGCAATCTCTTTATCATGAAAGTTGAACTTACAAATGTAGAATTATGTACAAAAAAAATCTGCAAACAAAAATAAAATAATGTAGAAAACTTTAGAGCCTATAAAGTCCACCCAGTCCTACTTCAGCCATTCGCTCAGACAAACAAGTTCGGTTACATTTGCAGGAGATAATGCTGCCTGCTTTTTGTTTACAATGTCACCTGTCATTCTGTTGTAACCAGCGTCACAAGATATTTACATGCCAGATGTGCTAAAGATTCATATGTCCCTTCATGGTTCAACCACCATTCCAGAGGATGTAGGTCCATGCGGTTGACAGGTTCTGCTCGATAATGACCCAAAGCAGAGCGGACCAACTCATGTTAATTTTCATCATCTGAGTCAGATACCACCAGCAGAAGATTGATTTTCTTTTTTGGTGGTTCAGGTTCTGTAGTTTCCGCACCAGAGTGTTGTTCTTTTAAGAGTTCTGAAAGCATGCTCCACAACTTGTCCCTCTCAGATTTTGGAAGGCACTTCAGATTCTTAAACCTTGGGTTGAGTACTGTAGCTATTTTTAAAAATCTCACATTGGTGCCTTCTTTGCATTTTGTCAAATCTGCAGTGAAAGTGTTCTTAAAATAAACATGTGCTGGGTCATCATCCAAGACTGCTATAACATGAAATATATGGCAGAACGCGGGTAAAACAGAGCAGGGGAGACAATTCTCCGCTAAGCAGTTCAGTCACAAATTTAATTAACAAACTATTTTTTTAACGAGCATCATCAACATGGAAGCATGTCCTCCAGATTGTTGGCTGAAGCATGAAGAGGCGTACAAATGTTTAGCATAGCTGGCATGTAAATACTTTCCAATGCTGGCTACAAAAGTGCCCTGCGAACGCCTATTCTGACTTACAGGTGACATTGTAAACAAAAAGCGGGCAGCATTATCTCCCGTAAATGTACACAATTTTGTTTCTCTTTGTGATTGGCTGAACAAGAAGTAGGACTGAGTGGACCTGTAGGCTCTAATGCTTTACATTGTTTTGTTTTTGAGTGCAGTTATGTAACCAAATAAATAAATAAATAAAAATAAAATCTACATTTGCAAGTTACAATTTCACGATAGAGTTTGCAGTACAGTACTTGTATGAGGTGAACTGAAAAATACTTTTGTTTATCATTTTTACAGTGCAAATATTTGTAATAAAAATGATATAAAGTGAGCACTGTATACTTTGTATTCTGTGCTGTAACAGAAATCAATATATTTGAAAATGTAGAAAAACATCCAAAAATATTTAATAAATTTCAATTGGTATTCTGTTGCTTAACAGTGTGATTAATCGCGATTAATTTTTTTAAGTTAATTGTATGAGTTCACTGCGATTAATTGACAGCCCTAGTTTTTGTTGTTGTTGTAACTGTACCTGTAAAAGTTAGCTACTGGTTGAAAGTTAGTATCTAGAGAGATACTTTACCCCTCCAGACTTGTCATTTGAAACATAGTCAGTGTGCAATATTTACCTTGGGTGGACGCAAAAGTAGCATACAAGTCATCCTACTTCCAGACATGGGACATTAATTCTGAAAGTGAATTTTAGTCCTGTGCTTTCTACAGTCCAGCAGGAAATTGGAGCATTGAAATATATGTCATTTTTCATATGTCTCTCAATATCAAGTGCACTATGCGAATATCATGGCCTTCCCTAATGCCAGATATGGATGGAAGATGGACTGAAAAGGGATCTGTTCCCATTCTCCACTAGATAAGTATATCTTCATTCTTGTGCAAGTTCAATACATGGAGAGAAAAGAATGTTTCTGCTACAGGATATTAAAGGTGAACTGTAAAGGGCAGGGAGCCGGATGAGGGTGTGTGTTATTCAGGTCATCAAGGTAATTCACTATTGGGACAAATTCTAACTTTCTTTTAAAAGATTTCCTCCACTTCCTCCATTTTTTGTGCTGAACAAGCCTCACAGCATTGTTAATGGGGACATTCATCACATACATTTCATCGGAACTCTACGTCCCTTCACAGTTTTGCCGTTCACCTTTCAGTAGTGCAAAGGGGGTAGAAGAAAGGAAGCAGTCATTAAACCAGAAGGGTAGCTTCAGCTCATGTGAATATGAATCCGCTATTGATAAAGCAGGCCCAAGTCAGTCAGTCACAGAGCTTGTGGGTCAGTGGCAAGTCGGATAAAACCACCAAGAGACAGTGTCAGACAACAGGTTCTAATGTTCCATTGGTAGGTTAAGACCTAATCCTTTTCCTGAGGAGGCAGGAGTTGTATTTAAATATGCTGAAACAAGTTGTCCCAGAGTAGTCACAACTCCCTTTTTCTCCTTTTCACCCTGTAATGCTGTTGCTCACCTTCTTGTCATCAGATTTGGCTAGGGCCTCAGTTTCCCCTGTTGGCTCGATGGCTTAGCCCTCCAACGGAACCAAAAATCCTCTCTCTGTGGTAACAAAAAGTCCAAAAGGAAAGACATCTGGGCTATGATCCCCTTATCAGGGTCCGGGTAAAACATCTCTTCCCTCAGAGGTTCACTCTTTATGTATTTCTCCCAAATATTCCTTTGCTCAGATCCTCTTCAGGCTTCCTTTTCAGGCTTCTTTCTGTTCTTAAGCACTTTTCCTTTGACAAAGTTAGCACTTTTGCCCTTCCCTAACCACCTACTGGGGAGAGAGCCTTACAGCAAATCCTAACATCTCCCAGACCTCCTTCAGACTGAGGAAAGCAGATCCGTTATATACGGCAGCCTATGGTTTCCATGATTGCTGTACAACAAGTCAAAACATTGCTCTGTTTTTGGTAGAACCACATCACAGGAATGGGAGGAACTTTAACCCTTTAAAGACCCAAGCACACCCTGTGCCACGACAATTCTATTTAGAACTACTAAATGAATTACTATAATGGTTTTCCATTTGGACTGATGAAGCTAACATATAACAGTATTTAACTGATCATCCCTGGGGAAAAAGAGAAACAACACACAACAGGCTTTTCATTTAGGAAACAGAATAGTAAACCAAAGGTTCAATGTAGACTGATGTTGTTTACGGTTAAATTGTTTTTAGTTTCAAGAGGAAAAGGAGGGATTTTTTAAGTTTTACTGAAAGTGAAAGTTAAGTGTGACAAAGTAGGTGGAGTATGTAGAATACTTTAAGTACTAAACTACTACAAAAGTTTCCCCCAAATATTTAACCTGAATATCTGATAGTTTAATCCAAGACTATGGTGCTTATAGGTGTGCAAATGCTTGTATGAAATGAATCCTTTCCACAATCAGAAAAGTCAATACCTCAGGCCTACTTTCTAAGGGGTTTAGGATTATTTCAATTATATGAATTACATACTTACAGGTCCCATAATAGTTGCTTGCCAGTGGAACACTGAAAGACAAAACACATTAAGTTTTTAGAAAATTTTTCTCCTCCCTCAACTGACAAAAATATACTAAGACCTTTGCAGTAAATGATTAAGAGCTTACAGTCATCTCCAACAGGCCCTGCAGAACAGTGGGCAGGTGGGTCACGTTGCAGATCACTTAATTCCTATGAAAAACATGAAAATATTGTAAATGATTAAAAATATTTACAAGGAAGAATGAGGTAACTAAGAATCAAGCCAAATTCAGTTCTAATCATACTTAGATTAAAATAAGACATCTAGGACATTTAAAACCAAAAAACAATAGAAATGTAAGTGCCAGTGAAAATGGAAAGTTTTCCCAAATAAATAAACATTCCTTGCAGTGTTTGCAACTCAAGAACTGCAGTACTGTGCTACTGACATGTAAAATAGATCTGCAAATTATAAATAAATCAACTCTACAGTGAAATGTCAAGCGTAAGATGAAAAAAATTAAGATTAAGTGTTATTTTAAGTTCAATTATTTAAAGTATTAAGGAAAAATTTTAAATGCTTAACTGAGTGTTCCTTTAACTTTGCAATGTTTTGCATAACCTAATCTTGGCCCCATCCATCCATGTACATTAATTGATTTAAACTAGTTTGTAAAATGTCTGATTTTCCCAAAAGGTGCTCCACAAATGTACTGTTATTAAGAATACTCATAAATGAGCCTGAAAGCTAACAGAATTTAGCCTCCCGTTGATATTTCTGGATAAACAGCTTCTTTACTTTCGTAAATCTTATTTTTCAGACTTACAAAACAAGAAAGGTTAAAATTGAACAGAAATCTTCATAGAGTATTTTACAAGTATGATATTTTTCATTACGAAAGGGTATAAAGTCAATCTTGGCTAATTTACCCTTCCTTGCTGTTCATGTTTTTATTTTAGTCCTTAGATATAGCCTTTCCAAAGGGGAATATTGCATATGTCTTCCTTGTCCCTAGCTACTATCAACAGTCCTCCTTATTGGAGGTTGTGACAACCACCCTCTTTTTTTAAACACTCCTGCTGGGTAACCACCTGCTGTTGCTGAAAGCCACTATCAGTGCCTACTGTATTCATGTTCAGTTAATAAAAATGGAATATAAATTAAAAAGTGTAGAAACAAACTCAATAGCTGCCAAGGGTGTAAGAGTTCATGAACAAATTTTTGGGATGGAAAATAAAGTTAGTTGTTCCTTAAAATGAGACTATAGTAATTTATTAACAACAAAGGATACCCAAGGGCATGAGCACTGGATTCACACATTTCAGCTGATGGAGGCACTGCCTATTGTATACTGCGCAAGCGATAAGGGGTTTATGAAGCATTACATTTCTTGTTTGTATTGTAATTAAAATACATTTATAGTTACTTTCACTTCATGGGAAGAAATTAAATGCAATATTCCCTTCAAATAAGGTGTCACCATCTCCTATTCTAAGGAGTCAGTATTCAATCAGCATGCTTAATTAGCCAATGGTTGATTACAGAAAGACTGCTGAAACATTTAAGATGAATAGCTCATTTTAAATTGTACTTTCAATATCGGTTATTATAACCAATTGTTCTGATAATGTGGGCACATGCCATAAAATCCTTTAGTCTAGATACTCTAATATGAGATCAGCCCTAGAATTTCTGGATTCAAAGAAGTGTTTTATTTACACAGTCCTATCTTTTTTGCTGAAGAGAAAGACTAACAAAAGACTGAAGTCCATGCCATCAGCCAACATCATTAACAGGATTAGTTTTCAGAATTTTTATACCAAAAGAGATTAGAAATCCCACTTTTCCTCCTCCTTGCCCCAATATTTAAAATCAAAGTGTATGTCCCATGCTTACTATAGTTACACTTTTTATTTTTTTGCTTGAGTGTAATTATATATCACAACCTCACTTTCTATTGATTCCCCCTAGACAGCTACTGGTTTATCTGCTTTTGAAATTAACTTCCCACAAGTGTCTAAATGTATTGCTTATACTCTTAACATGAAAATGTAATGATTCTTAATTCTCCATGAATTTAAGAAGCCTAACACAGACTAAGTAACACTTCATATCATGTTGCTTAAATAAAAAACTTTTTACCTTTTTCCCCAAGATTATTTTTATCATCCAACAAGTGCATCATAATTCAATACAAAGAAAACTATTAATGAGCAAACTTTAGATTATGGTTCTCAACAGACAATATTTTCCCCTACACATGTATGTTACTGTTAGGTTAAATGTGAAATTCTAAGCCATAACTCTGCTCCAGGTCAATCAGACAATTATATATTTACATTGGCAAATACAATTTTGCTTTCTTTTTATATTTATTTTGCTAGTTTATAGGAACAAATGAAAACACTTTTTGAATTGTAAGATTCAAATTAGTGGATGATGTTTGACCATTTGCATGCACATGTGATTATATATTGAAACACAGATGTGTTATTTCACTGACAGTTAAGTGTATGAACGTCTCTTTACATTTCAATTTAGTGGAAAAAATAAATAAAGTTGTGTACACTACAAGACTACAACACCCTTTATTTTTAAACTTAGTTACTTCAAAAATGTGTCAAAAGCCACTTATTTAAATTTTCAAAAATAATTTTTCTGAAGTAAAATACATCCAAGTTCCTCCACACTCGAAACAAGAACAGCCAAAAAGAATTTTTCAAGTATTTCCAAATAATTAAGTTTGAGCTATGAACAAGCATCAGAAACCGCATTTCCTCTTGATCACTAGAGGTAAGCCCTGGAAAAATAGTAGCTTATAAAGAAAGTGTCTTCTCAACAAACCCTATAATACATGATAGCCAAAGTCCATGAACAGAGATGAAAATGAAGGGTTCTGAGCACCAACCATAGGACAACAGCTCTTCACAGAAGAGCCATGTGAACAAATTCACTGAGCTACCTAACATTAGATACAGCAAGACCTTAGAGCATGCATATTCATACTTAGCACCAAACAGTGATAGCCTCTCCCCAATTTTCAAAGATTTGCTAATTACAGAAGACTCATCTGCAGAACCCCCAAGTCTAGTTTACACTGCAGCACACTACTATACATTATGAAATCAATTAGAACTTACAAGCATCAAGAGTCTCAGAAGTGAATTTTGTATATATTTTATTTGCTTAGTGCTGACTACGTACATGGTGCTGCACAGTACACAGATAACAGGAGATGCTGTTCCTGTCCCAAGGAGCTTCCAGTGTAGATCAGACATTGTGCAGTCTAAATCTATGATTTTGATGACACAAATCTATCAACTCCCTTGTGTCCTATGGCAAAGCAGATCACTGACCAGAGGCAGTCAAGGGGTCCCTATGTGAGGCAGATTAAAATGCACTCTGGAGTACAGAGAGGGAAATCTGAGGGACTCAAGACAGGTTTGTCACAGAGTTGGGAGCAACTGGTGAAGTTTAGTCTAGTAGTGAGGACACAATGGACAAGCCTTACTGTTCTGCCTTCACTTATTCGCTAATATGTGAGAATCCTTCATTTACAATTATCTCCTGATCATTAGCTTTTGGCTGGTTTGGCTATAGCTCTCCCATGGTGTAGAATACCTCTTTTCAGGTATTAGTTTGCTCTAGGAGCCTGTGTGCTGTACACCTCTGAAAAGTGCCTTGTCTGGAAACAGTGTTACGGGATAGATCATCGAGAAAAAGATATGGTACAGCAGAAACTATGATGCTGATACTAGCGAGATGTTAGAGTACCAACACACACTAAAAAAAAAGAAAATATGTTCACTTACTAATGTTCACTGTATATTACAGCTCATTTCCTTAGTAGATACTGCCATCTTTAACATAAATGTTATTAGAACTATTAATCTGAGCAGACACTTGATCTCACAGAACTCCCAAGTCCCATAGCTATTTTTAAGATATAAAATTTCTAGCTGTCATAAGAACACTCAAGCTTAGCCAGAGACAGTATGTCTATATAGACATGAATTTCTAAGTGACTTCATTGCATTATCTGCCAGCCCTTTGTTCTTCCCAGAGTTCTTTGAGGTACTTGCTAAAGCTATGAAGACCTCACTGTATTCTATCTGCTCAGAGCCCTCTATATACCCCCATAGACTTAAGGCCCCACAACATAACCACCAACATTTACAGTAAACCTGAACAGTCACTGAGTTCTAGTTGTCATCTTCTCAGGTGGGCTAAAAATGCCAACTTAAAACTAAATTTTATAAGATACCTTCATCTAGGGTTAGTCTTTTTAGGTTTTGTAATCATGTAGGAAAACTGTACATCATTTAAGGAGACGATGTCAGGGTATTTCATCTTTTTTTAACTGGTTTTCCCTTAGTTTAATGATCCATTTGAAAGTGAAATCTGTTTCCTTACCATTTTTCTCATCCATGCATGCTAGTTTGTTATTGTAGTACCATTCATGAAGCTTGGCTGATGACAAAATCCTCTCCACCCCCTTTTTTTTTTTAAATTTCCAGAGGGTGAGGTGTTCAGGGGAAAAGGGGGGAGGGGAAGAGGAAAGAGACCTGAGAAAACAAACATCTTCACTTCCCAAACTAGAAGAAAAAGGTGTCTAATTTTGGACCTACCAACTTCAGCTTCCCCTCCATATCTACTTGTAACAGGGTTGGCACCCACCTCTCCTGAGCGCCCCCTCTGGTTGGGTGTGTCCGCAGTCTTTAAACCAGTCCCAGCCCTGCCATCGAGCTGTATCCGCAGGGCTTCCTCCCTGGAGGCAATGGTTTTGCCCGCTTAGTCTGGTTTGGCCCCAGTCTTCAGCTTGGACATCCTGACAATTCAGTCCCCTTCTGGAGGTTTACTGATGTCCAATTGTAGGCCATTTCTCAATGGCCTACGGGAGGGAAACAGGGCCCACCCACTACTCTGGGTCCCGGCCCAGGAACCTTCAGAATAGCAGCCATATGCCACTGTGTCCCTTTCGTAAAACTACCTTCAGTTCTCTGGGCCACTTCCCTGCAGCCCCAGCCTTCACCAATGCCTTACCCTTAGCTCAGGGCTCTTCTAAGATCAGGCCCACTAGCCAGTCAGGAGCTCTTCCTTGCTCCCCACTAGCTCTGAACTGTCCATTGTGCTGCAGTTCCCTTTGCCAGCCAGGAGCCCTTCTGCACTCCTCTAGCTCCAGCAAGGAACTGAACTGTCTCTGGAGCTC